GTGGCGACAGTTTCACAGATCGCAGCCCCCCAGGGATGGCGAGGTCTAATTTGAATCCGCGCGTCGCCCTCACTGTGCTGGGCCCCCCAGCAGGCCTCGAAAATGGCGACAGTTTCGCAGATCGCAGCCCCCCAGGGATGGCGAGGTCTAATTTGAATCCGCGCGTGGCCCTCACTGTGCTGGGCCCCCCAGCAGGCCTCGAAAATAGCGACAGTTTCGCAGATCGCAGCCCCCCAGGGACGGCGAGGTCTAATTTGGGTCCGCCCGTGGCCCTCACTGTGCTGGGCCCCCCAGCAGGCCTCGAAAATGGCGACAGTTTCGCAGATCGCAGCCCCCCAGGGATGGCGAGGTCTAGTTTGAATCTGCGCGTGGCCCTCACTGTGCTGGGCCCCCCAGCAGGCCTCGAAAATGGCGACAGTTTCACAGATCGCAGCCCCCCCAGGGATGGCGAGGTCTAATTTGAATCTGCGCGTCGCCCTCACTGCGCTGGGCCCCCCAGCAGGCCTCGAAAATGGCGACAGTTTCACAGATCGCAACCCCCCCAGGGATGGCGAGGTCTAATTTGAATCTGCGCGTCGCCCTCACTTTGCTGGGCCCCCCAGCAGGCCTCGAAAATGGCGACAGTTTCACAGATCGCACCCCCCCCAGGGATGGCGAGGTCTAATTTGAATCTGCGCGGGGCCCTCACTTTGCTGGGCCCCCCAGCAGGCCTCGAAAATGGCGACAGTTTCACAGATCGCAGCCCCCCAGGGATGGCGATGTCTAATTTGAATCTGCCCGTGGCCCTCACTGTGCTGGGCCCCCCAGCAGGCCTCGAAAATGGCGACAGTTTCACAGATCGCAGCCCCCCCCAGGGACGGCGAGGTCTCATTTGAATCTGCCCGTGGCCCTCACTGTGTTGGGCCCCCCAGCAGGCCTCGAAAATGGCGACAGTTTCACATATCGCAGCCCCCCAGGGATGGCGAGGTCTAATTTGAATCTGCGCGTCGCCCTCACTGTGCTGAGCCCCCCAGCACGCCTCGAAAATGGCGACAGTTTCACAGATCGCAGCCCCCCCAGGGATGGCGAGGTATAATTTGAATCTGCGCGTCGCCCTCACTGTGCTGGGCCCCCCAGCAGGCCTCGAAAATGGCGACAGTTTCACAGATCGCAGCCCCCCCAGGGATGGCGAGGTCTAATTTGAATCTGCGCGTCGCCCTTACTTTGCTGGGCCCCCCAGCAGGCCTCGAAAATGGCGACAGTTTCACAGATCGCAGCCCCCCACAGGCAAGACAGGAAGAGGCAGGGAGGGAGGGAGGAGGAAGGAAGGAAGGAGTGGAGACCACACTGCTCTATTCAAACGAATACCCAACCAAGGAGGGATGGGAACAAACGATACAAGCAACAAGCAGCAAGCAATGCAACGTTCTGGAAGCATACAGACAGCCAGGCGAACCATTGCGAAACATTGCTTTCATTTTTTTTGGTTGCTGTTTTTGTTTGCGTGGTTTCCCTATGGTTTCCTTTGGTTATACCCCCCCCCCCCCCCAGGGGATTCGAAAGAGGAGGAAGGGGAGGATGAGGAGGCGGAGGAGGGGGAGAGAGGAGGAAGAGGAGGAGGAGGAGGAAGAGGAGGAGGAGGAAGAGGAGGAGAAAGATGTGGAGGAGGAGGACCAAGAAAAGGGCATCCACAAATGGATGCCCCGTCTGCCATGTGGACGCAAGGTCCCAGACACTGCGCGTGATCTTGCAACACAATGCGATGCCGTGTCTGCCACATGTGGAACAGCTCAGCCCATCTCAGATGAGACAGGGGATGCTAGCGTCTATCAGAGAGCAGGATGCACCGGGGGAATCCAAAACATGGGTTCCCACCTCCGCGCCCGGAAACACGGCCGTTCGCAGGTACGAGATTTACGATAAGCCCATCAAGTAATATGGACAACACCGGCTTCCAACATTGACTGACGCATTACCAATACAATAGTGCTGGTGGTGCTTGTGGTGCTGCTGCTGGTGCTGCTGGGAATGCTGGTGCTGGTCCCTCTGGTGCTGCGCCTGGTGCTGGTGCCGCACTGCTCCAGCGATTTCGTCAAAAGAACGAGGGCATCCTAAAACGGGAGGCCCTTGCCATCTCACAGGGGGCCCGACGTCGACGTCCTGCTGTGATGGGGAGGCCGAGCTCGAGCGCCGCCTCGACGTGGAGGGCGAAGACGCACCCGCGGGGGGGGGGGGGGCGACGGCGACGACGGACACTTTCTCCCCAGTCGGCTCGAGGTGCTGCGGCAACATAGCCAGAAAGGCAACTGCGCACCGCGCGCACGAACCGAGAGGCGCGTGCAGCGTGCTGCCGACTCACCCTGGGGCACCAGCGGCGCGCGCCCTCGTCGGCGGCGCGCGCCCCGCCCTTTGCCCGAGCCGAGAGCGGCAGCACCGCCCGCGCGTGGGTGCCCCGCTCACTCGGCACGTAGATCTGGGCCTGCACGAAATCGCGTACTTGCGACTGGCCGTGTTTTTTGGGGCGCGGGGGTGGGAACTATTTGTGTTCCCCCGTGCATCCTGCAATCTGGTGGACGCCACTCTCCCCTGTCTCATCTGAAAGGGCATCGCAGTTGCGATGCCCTCTTCTGCCACATTGTTGAAAGGTCACGCGCAGTGTCTGGGACCTTGCGGCCACATGGCAGAAGGGGCATCCATTTGTGGATGCCCCTTTCTCGATCCTCCTCCTCCTCCTCATCCTCTCCCTCCGTCTGCTCCTCCTCCTCCTCCTCCTCCTCCTCCTCCTCCTCCTCTTCCTCATAATCCGCCGACCCTGTCGGCGTGTGTGAGGGGCTCTTCCGTTCGACTCGTCGTCGCCGTCTTCCTGAGTTCCACTCACCTGGGCCCTCTTCCTCAGACAAGCCGTCCACAGCGAAATTGGACAACGTCGTAGTTCAGTCGAAAGGAAGCCCCTTCCCTTTGATCCCTTCCCCGCGCGGGGGGGACGGGGTCCCGGGGACCCTGGGGGGATCCTGGGGGGGTCCTGGGAGGGTCCCGGGGGGGTCCCGGTGGGGGGTCGCCACCCAGATTCGTTTTCCTCCGGGGGGGTAGCAAGGCCAAGAAAAGCCCAAAGACGGGCCAAGAGCGCCCCAAGACATCCCCCAAGACGGTACAAGAGCGCCACGCATCGACGAACGATCGCCCCAAGACGTTCAAGACTGCTCGAAAACGGCCCAAGAGGCCCCCAAGAAGCTCCAAGAGAGCGCCAAGAGCACTCCCAAGAGGGCCCCAGGAGCCAAACCCGTCAATTTTCAATTGTTGTTTGAATGATTTCAGCTTTCTCGCCTTTTCGGCTTTCCGACGGTCCAAGACGGCCCAAGAGGCCCCCACGAGCGCCCCAAGACGGCCCAAGATGCCTCCAAGAGGGCTCCAAGAGGGACGCATGACGGCCCAAGAGGCGCCGAAGACGGCCCAAGAGGGCCCCAAGACGGGCCCAAGAGAGTGCCCAGATGGGGGCGAGGAACCGAGAATTCTAGACTTCCGCCCCATGAGGCCCCCAGGAAGACCCAAGAGGCCTCCAAGAAGCTCCAAGAGCGCTCAAGCCGCCCCAAGAGGCCCCAAGAAGCTTCCAAGAAGCCCCCATGAAGCCCCAAGAGGCCCCCAAACTGCTCCCCAGAGGTTCCCGAGAGCGCTCCGAAGAGACACACGTCAGCGTCGTCGCCGCATCCTCCCCCTCCTCCTCCTGCCACTCCTCCTGCCCCTCCTCCGGAGCCTCCTCCAACTGCTCATTCCTCCTCCTGCTCGTCCCCCGCGTCCTCCTGCTGTTGCCCCACCTCGCCCACCGCCTCCTCGTTCTCATTCTGCTCATCCTTCGGCTAGTCCTGCTTGTCCTCCTCCTCCTCCTCCTCCTCCCTCGTCTTCTTCGTCGTCGTCGATCAGGGTCGGCGGCACCGGTCGTCAAGCCTCTCCAATCAGAATCCCCTGAGGGACGTTGCTCGGAAGGCTCGGACGGCCTCCTGCCTCCTTCCGCGAGGCTCTCTCTGCGCGGGCCTCCCTTCGGGGCCCCGCGGGGCGAGCAGCGCCCTACGGGCGCCCCGCAGGGCCCCGCGGGGCCCTGCGGGGCTTCGCTGCCCCCTCCTCCTCCTCCTCCCCTCCTCCTCCTCCTCCTCCTCCTCTCCTCGTTCCTCTCCTCCTACCGCTCCCTCCCTCCTCCCTCCTCCTCTCTCTCCTCTCTCTCTCCCTCCCTCTCCCTCCTCCTCCTCTCTCCTCTCCTTCCTCCTCCCCATCCTCCTCCCATTCCTCTCCTCCTCCTCCTCCTCCTCCCTCCTCCTCCTCCTCCTCCTCCTCCTCCTCCTCCTCCTCCTCCTCCTCCTCCTCCTCCTCCTCCTCCTCCTCCACGACAAAGCTGGGACGAGGATAGCATTAGGTCGGGCATGTCCTCCTACAGGCGGAGTTTGGATGACAAGTAAAGAATATTCAAGGACTAGACAAAACTAATAACTCAAATTACTAACAGAAATCGTCCCCTGATTATTTCTGGCCTATTTTTGAACATTCCTCCTGTAGAAGGACCTGCCCGACTTAAGGATCTCATCGGGCGAGGACACACCGGGAATCTCTGAGATCCGGCGGCTCGGGAGGCTGTCGCGGGCGCCGCGGCCTTCGCAGAGCGAACTCCGCGGAGAGGCCTGGGGGCGCCCGGGAACGCTGTGGGCGGACTTGGACTTCTCCTCGTCGTGGCCCCGTGCGACCCCCTCTTGGCGGCGCGCAGAGGGGGGTAGGGGGAGGGGGGAAGGCTTCTTAGAAGCACCCCTGCTTCTTAGAAGGTGCGGGCCTTCTCTGTAGATGTAAGGCCGGCGCCTTCTAAGAAGCGGCCTCCTTCTAAGAAGCCCTCCCCCCTCCCCATACCCCCTCCTGCTCGCCGCCGACTCTCACCTCCCACCTCGGCGTTCCGCCGCGATGGGGCCCGGATGTACATTTCTGCCAGCGGCCAGCGTGCACTGCTCGTGGGCGCGAGCCGGTCGCCCCAGGGGGGCGGCGTCCTCGTGGTCGTTGTGCGCGAGGGACATCTGGTCTCTGGCGGGCAGGCCAGCAGGGACGAGGCCGGTGATCCCGGGCTGCATCGAGCAAGTGCACCTGCCGTCGCTCGAGTCGTAGCCGTACAGGCTGAGGTCGTCACCTCGGGGGAGGAGGAGGAAGGGGATGCGTAGACGCAGGAGGAGCAGGAACCGAGTCAGAATCGTAATCAAGAGCACCAGAGGAAAAAGCACAGGTACGAGGACTGGAATGATGCCAGTGATGGAGGGATCGCAGTCATGAGTCTGTCGGTTAGGGCTGCAGACGCAGGGAGACGAGGATCAGGGCGCGGTGGTGAAGCAAGACGTGAAGATGGTTGGCACGGAGGCAAGCGACGTTTCCTGCTGGGCCAGGGCCCCAGCAAGTCATGTGGCAAGTCTAAAATGCCCCAGTGCCACGCGCTCCAATCTGAGCGCTGTTGTTTTCGGGCTGGAGGAGCTCAGATTTCTAGATTCTTCAACGCACCAATGCAGCCACCACAACCGATGGCCTCCAGACAACACTTCTGAAAGCGCGCGCTGCCAGCAACATGTACTTTGGTAGAAAAGCCAAAGGAGGGAGCCACACCAGAGGATCCCGCGCGTGCGTACACTTACAAGGCCTTGCCAATGGCACTCGCACTGCTGTCGCTCAAGGGTAAGTGTAAAGAAAAACGGAAGAAGGGGAACATAAGGCGAGGAAGGGAATGGGAGAGAGGGGGTGAGGAGCGAAGAGAGAAGCTGCGGAAAAGCAGTTAACAACCGTAAGCTCGCACAAGCGCAAACGAGCCCAGCCGAACGGGACCCGCTCAGAGGGCCCTCGCTAGCAGAGGCGTGCGCCACAAATTAGGAGAGGAGCGGCGAGAGAAGACGATAGGGAGAGAGGGAGGGAGAGAGGGAAAGAGAGAGAGAGAGAGATGAGGCACATCATAAACTAAAGAACGAAGCGACGATGACGGTAAGCCTGACCCTCCGTACGTAGTTCGGAGCTTACGCTCCTGAGCGACATGAGCGCGCAAAACACGCCATTGAGAAACCATACGCGCGCATCCAATCGCAACAACAACGACATTTCCGCTATCGGCAACGGCCTGCCCGGGAGGATGTGCTCGCAGGACCCGGGTCTCGGTGCTGTCTAAGGGGATCCAGAAGGGAATCACGCTTCTCGCTCTTGGGGTCGCCTCCGCGCACGATCATCCTGAGCTCCTGCTCACCTCGCTCGTCCGCCTTCTCCTCCTCCTCTACAGGGGCCCCAGAACACACACACACACACACACACACACACACACACACACACACACACACACACACACACACACACACACACACACACACACACACACACACACACACACACACACACACACACACACACACACACACACACACGCACACACACACACAGACACACACAGAGGGGCGTCCATTCCCTGTGCTTTTTTTGGTTTCGTGCGTGTTTTTTTCGCCAAATTATCAAGGATGCTCCTCGATGGCCCTCGCCGAGAAAAAAAGGCACACGTCCGAGCGATGCCAGGGAGCCCGGGTGACGCGCGCGGCTCCGCGGCCCAAGGCTAGAAACGGGGGAGGAAGGTCGAAGCGCGGGTGCGCGGCTGCTCTGACTAAGGCAACGCTCCCGTCGCCCGAACTGGACACGCTGCCGGATACGAGGGCGTGAAGGTGGCATTGCTCTTCCTTGATGGACCGTGTGTGCTCCCAAAGGCGCAGAGCGCCTGAACTGGACACGCTGCCGGATACGAGGGCGTGAAGGTGGCATTGCTCTTCCTTGATGGACCGTGTGTGCTCCCAAAGGCGCAGAGCGCCTGAACTGGACACGCTGCCGGATACGAGGGCGTGAAGGTGGCATTGCTCTTCCTTGATGGACCGTGTGTGCTCCCAAAGGCGCAGAGCGCCTGAACTGGACACGCTGCCGGATACGAGGGCGTGAAGGTGGCATTGCTCTTCCTTGATGGACCGTGTGTGCTCCCAAAGGCGCAGTGTAATGACTTGCTACGTGGCCCCATGGATGCACTGGAGCAACGTAACACTCGACACGTGTGCGCGGAGGAGATCGGCGGTGACGTGCGGAACTGACTTTATATGCGTGTTTGTTACGACATCGCCCTGTGCTAGCACGTATGGCATTCCGTCTTCTTGGCGGCATCGATTGGAGGTGTTGGTGTTCGCTGGTTCCCAGCACACTCGGTGACGGATGAGAAGAAGACAAGTGGCTAACGAATTGAGCACCGATTTGATTTCTTGGGACCTCTGGTGTCGGACAGCGAGAGGCGCCTCATCGTCGTGATCACGCGAAGGTGCGATGTGTTCCCCTCAATGCCCTGGTTCCAACATGTGCATGTAATCACTAATCCAAACATTGTTGTTCTTGCATGCTTGAATCTGGAATCCTGGTGGACACCGAATCCTTCCAGTGCATCCTCGAATATGCAGTCTGACTGCCGCTGCGCACGAGCGGTAACAATTGTCCCAGCGGCACCCTGGCGCAAAACAAGACCCCCACTGCCTCGGAACAGAGGCGACAATGCGTGCGGCTTATCCAGCCGTGGCGCGACTCCACCGAACACGCTGGCATTCTCACTTGAAACGTCTGTGTCAGCAGTGGGAAGTTTACAGCAATCGCCGATGCTTTAGACACCTCCAGCCGGACCTTTTCAATTTACACTAGCAGCGCTGCCTTCCGCACTTCTTGCATCAACAACGCCGACCTCTGGTGATGACCGCATTCGACTTGGAGCCTGGGACGCTGGCTTCCTTCCCTCCTCCACAGCCGACGAGCACCGTCCTGTCGACGAGCACTGCGGCGGACACGCTCCGGGCGCGCCAGGTGGCGCTGCGCATCACCAGTGGAGGAATAGTGCGGCCATCTGCGCTGCACTCCTGCGTTTGTGTTGTCCACGTGGCCTGAAGTGCCATATCAGAGCTCGGGTAACGTGCAGGCACCCAGAACGATGAACGATCAGGGGATAATGCGTAGTGGCCGAGGCAATCGCATCGGCCTTCACGTGCAAGGACCCACGCAGTTTGAGTCGTACTTTATTCGGTTGCAACCATCACCGCTGCCATGCCCATTGCCAGTCGCCGCTGCTGCTCGCGAAAAACTAACCATGAGTCGCGGGCGAAGCAACCAGGATAATAAGGACGAGCACGAGGATGACGACGAACAAGCAACAATAGCTGCGCGCGCGTGTAGGCAAGGGCACGGCAAACTTTACGTCGTTATGCCTTGCGCGTTAAATTCGGATAGGACAACTCAGCCCAGGACAATCGCACGTCCTTCGACATCGGCCAACTCTGGGCCACTGGCGTTTTCAACCTTGAACGCCCGCGCTGGCGCCAATACCCGCGACCACCTGCCGTATCGAAAAAAACAAACGGCATGAGCAGAAACTGCTGGAAATCTGCGCGGAATTCTTGGATGGCCGCTTTGCCCCTCTCACTGATGACGCTAGGTCGGGCATGTCCTCCTAAAGGCGGACGTTGGAAGAGAAACAAAATTACGTTACCGAGGAAACCCACACACTTAAGTTTAATCATATGCGTTTGCATATCATGGCCATCTATGCGCAATCATGCGTTCTGAACCCTTGTCGCGAATGTTTCCTCATTTTGCCATCCATCATACCATTGCTTGAACCTTCTCCCCCTTCCCCGCCTTCTATCCTCCATCGGGGAAAGTTTGAGGTGGTCACCGAAGGCCGTTTCCAGGGGGGGCAGCAAGCAAGGAGGCAATGCAAGACGATCTGCCGCATCGCGGTGTCAGGGGGCCACTTTGGAAATCGGTGCAAATCAAAGCCCTCGCGCAAACGCTCTAGGGAGCCTCCAGAGTGATCTTCTCTCCATCCCCTCATGCTGCGTTCTCCCGCGCCCCTGCCTCATTTTCCCACCTAGGTCGGCCGATTTTGTCTTGCAATGTTCTCACACAGGTTCCACGTCTGCCCCCGCGTCGGGGAATCTCTTAGCTGCACGCGCAATGGAATGTCAATGCAGACGTAAACCGCCTGCATGCAACCTGTAAGTGCCCTTCAATGGAAAATCTCTGAGCTGCGGTTGCCGCGAGGACAACAGCTGGGCGGCCACGAGGCGTCAAGCCGCTCTGCCAGGGTCGCCTGGCGCGCGCGGTGCGCGACGCCTTCCGCGTCTCGCAAAGAATCGATGCCATGATGCTCCGCGGCGGCTCGAAACGTCCATCGCCGGGGGGCGGCGTCGCTCGCCCTTCCGTAGAATTTGGCGCCGGCTCCACCGAGCACGTCAGGCTGCAAAGCGAACAGGCGAAGAGTAAGTACATCCATCTCGTAGCTCGGGTGGCCCTTGGAGTACCTGTTGAAAGTTTGCCGCAAGTTGGCATCGGCACCCTTTTCGGGCGGTCGTCACTGTGGATCATCCGCTCGTTTCTCAGCAAACGACCTGTACCATCCGACAGCTTTCTTATCCGCCTGGGCGCGCAAACAGGTCACCGCGACCGACTGTCGCAGGCTCCGCGACCAAGGTCCCCGGCATCCAACCAACGTCGAGGAAACGCCGCGTTTACCGCGCCCTGCGGGCCTGCAACGCATATCGCCCTCACCCCCAACGCACCCCCTGCGGCGTCGAGGGAATGCCACGCCTGCCACGCCCTGCGAACCTCCAACGCATGCCCCCCCCCCCCCCCACACGCACCCCCTGTGGCGTCGAGGGAATGCCACGCCTGCCACGCACTAAGAGCCTGCAGCGCATAGCGCCCCCACCCCCAGCGCACCCCATGTAGCGTCGAGGAAATGCCGCGCCTGCCACGCCCTGCGAGCCTGCAGCGCGTGGCGCCCCCGCCCCCAGCGCGCCCCCTGTGGCGTCGAGGAAAAGCTGCGCCTGCCACGCCCTGCGAGCCTGAACGCGTAGCGTTCCCACATCTAGAGCCCCCACATCGCCTCGTCGAGAATATGCCGCGCTTGCGCCCGGGGCGACCGCGCGCGTGCGTCTCGGGTGCGTGACGCAATGCGCCCGCCGCGCCTGCCACGCCCTGCGAATCTTGAGCGCGCGTGTTTTTGTGCGCGTGCGCACGCGTTGCGCGCGGGTGAAGCGATGAAGTGGGAGAGGAAGAAGAAGGGGGAGAAGGGGGGCGCGCGTGGGAGGAGACGCGGGCGCGACGCGGCAGGGATGAAAACCATGACACCACTTAACCACGCGGGGAAAAAAGCCAAAAGCTATTTACAAACAACCGAAACATAATCGAATTCCTCCGACGGTGGGACACCAAGCGGGAATCGACCTAGCTTGCCCCTCCCTTGTTCTTCTTCGTCTGGCGGAAGCTGCCTTTCGCCCTCTCCGTCAATCCGCCTTGCACCTCCTCCCCCTCCTCCTTGTCATCCTTCTTCTCCTCCTGTCCCTCCTCGTCCTACTCGTTGCAATTCTCATCCTCTTCCTCTTCCGCCTCCTCCTCCCCAACTTCCGACTCCTCCACTTCCTCCCTCTCCCCCTCGCGATCCTCTTCCTCCTCGGCATTTGCCTTGCCCTCCTCCACCTCCTCCGCCTTTCCCCCTGCCCCGTCGCCGCCCCGCTCGTTCTCCTCCTGCGCTTCTCCTTTCTCCTGGCAGGGGCGCGCGCGCGTGGATCTTTCTCGGCGCCCTCGCCGCCGCGCCCGGCGGGGGCGCGTTCTTCGACGGCGAAATCGAGCGGCCGTCGGGGGCAGCCCCGCGGGCCAGGCCGCCGGGGCCGAACCGCGAGTCGCTGGCGCGCGAGACCGAACCGCCGGGGCAACCTCGCGGTTTCCGCGCGGGGCGCCGCCGCGTTCAGGCGGGGGCGGCGCGGGGCCCATCTCCGCCGCGAGCTGCTCCGCCTCTGCCCTGGGGCTCTCCGCTCTGACGTCGAACTCCAGGGGCGCCTTCCGCAAGGGCGCAGGCGGCCCTCGCCCGGGAAACGCTCGCGGAGGCGGCCGCGGGATCTGCGTGCTCCGCACGCGCGTGGCGCGGGGGAGCACGGCGTAGAGGTGCAGTCGCCGCTGCGCGTCCGACATGCCCGCGCGACCAGCGTCCTCGCCCCTCGCGCAGTCGACGGCGACGCCCTTGCGCAGCGTCTGGCCCTGCGACAGCGCGGGGGCGAGGTGCGGCGCGCGCGCGCGCCGTGGCGGGCCCCGAGCGGCGCGCGGCGTGCGGCCCCGAGATCTGACGCGTGAGCTCCTGCTCGCTGGGCCTGAGCACGAACAAGCTCCTCGCCCGCGCCTCAGCCTCGCGGTCGTCGTCGGCGCCTTCGGCGCCCGGTTGCAGCGCCCCTGCGACCTCCTGGTTCATCGGAGACTCCGTGAAGCCGTGCGCACACAGCCAAATTCCCTGCGGGAGGTGGCGGGGGCGGAAAAGCTTACCCGGCGAGAACCCCTCGCACCGCTGCTCGTCCTCGGGGTGAAAGTCGAAGGATGCGACGGTGGCCCGCTGCTCCTGCGCGAGCTCCAACTTATTCTTCAGCTCTTCCGGTAAGACGCCGTTGATGTCCCCCGTCGCATGCACGTTCGAGGCGCGCGCCGGCCCGCGTCGGGATCGGCCTGAATCACGTAGCACTCGTCCACGGCCCGCAAGGGAACGAGGGGCCGCGCCCAGACGCCGAACGTCGCGACGAGCGCGCTCGTTGATCAACCTCGCCAGCGTCTCCCAATAGATCCCCATGCCGTGGCAAAGCCAAAATTTCTCGCGTTGGTGCCGAAGGTCCAAGACGCCGCGGCTGTCCGAGGCCAGCGTCGCTTCCCAGGCTGACCAGACCTCTGGCGGAAAAGGGCTTGCCCTCGCGCATGCAGTACAAGATTGTGATCAGAGGGTCCCCGGGTTCGGACTGCTTCGTGCCTCTCAGGTCGAAGACGCAGGGGATCTGAGAGAAGGCCTTGATGGCGTGCTGAATATCCACCGTCGGCGGCCCAACGTGCTTGCAGGACCCGTCGTCCAGGAGCTTGATCACTTCCGTCAGGAGGCCGATGCTGCCCGTTGGCCTCAGCTGCAGGAAATCGCCGAGGTGCAACACAATGGGGACGCGCCCGAAGTGGTGGTGCGGCCGCGTGTTCGTGGACTCATGCACGTCTTGCGTGTCCCTGCGCCCGTGGCATGAACGAATGTCCAGCGCGATGTGCAGCGCGGCCGCCGCCCGCCTGGTACTTCCTGCATATCCAGGCCTCAGGTGCACAAAGGTGACGACAGTTATAGGATCACGATGACCCGCTCGGATTGAAAACGTGAGCGGCGGGCCCCATAAAGAGAGGGCTCCAGCCTGAGACTTCCTTGCAATTCACTCACAGACGAGGCTCCCGCATGATAGTTCCTCCAGGTTACAAGGTTCCGATAACTCGCCCGGATTAAACACATGACCGGCGGGCCCCATAGGGAGGGGGCTCCCGCCTGAGACTTGCTCGCAGTTCACTCACAGACGAGGCTCCCGCATGATACTTCCTCCATTTCCAAGCCCCAGGGGCCCAAAATTGACGACGGTTACAAAATTCCGATGGCCCGCTCGGATTAAACACATGAGCGGCGGGCCCCATAGGGAGGGGGCTCCCGCCTGAGACTTCCTCGCAATTCACTCACACACGGCGCTCCCGCCTGATACTTCCTCCATATTCAAGCCTCAGGGGCCCAGCAGTGAAGACAACTACATGGTTCCGATGGCCCGCTCGGATTGAAAACATGAGCGGCGGGCCACATAGGGAGGGGGCTTCCACCTGAGACATCGATTCACTCACAGACGAGTCTTTGTTGACGATGATGCTGTGATAAGGATGATGCTGATGATGCTGATGATGAAGATGGTGATGGTGATGATGCTGCCGATGATGATGAATGGGTAGTAGATGTAAGTGCGTGAATGAAAAGAAACATGAGAGTGTGTGCGATTGTGTAAGTGATGATGATGCGGTGGTGATGCTGATCATGATGATGACGATGCTGATGATGTGAGTGTGCGAGTGTGTGGGTGAGAAGGGAGAGGGTGTTCCTGTTTGTGCGCGGGGTGCCCCGAGAAAACGAGAAGCAACAAGCGTCCCCAAACTGGAAAAAAACTATGTTCGAATATTCATCTTGCAATTGCAAAGGGACATGTCCGACTTGACGCTGGCGCGAGCAACGCGCCAGGGGCGGCGCCGGGGGCGCCGCCTGGGGGACCCAGCGAGTACTCGGAAGATCCGTGCGGAATTCTGCGAAAGTTTCTGTTCATGGCGTTCTCTCTTTTCTCTTCTCTTCTCTTCTCCTCCTCCTCCTGCGGTTTCTGTGTCCCCCGCGGGACCCTCTGCCGTGGTCGCGGCGGCGAAGGCGATCCTGCCGTGGTCGCCCAGCGCGGTGGCGACGACGCACTGCCCGACGTCAATCACGCTTGCGGGGGGGTGGGATGAGGAGTAGGAGGAGGAGGAGGAGGAGGAGGAGGAGGAGGAAGAGGAGGAGGAGGAGGAGGAGGAGGAGGAGGAGGAGCAGGAACAGGAACAGGAGGAGGAGGAGAAGGAGGATGAGGAGGAGGAGGAGAGTGAAGGAGGAGGAGGAGGAGGAGAAGGAGGAGGAGGAAAAGGAGGAAGAGAAGGAGGAGGACGAAGAGGGGGACGAGGAAGAGGAGGAGCAGGAGGAGGAGGAGGACGAGGAAGAGGAGAAGGAGGAGTATGAAATTGTAGAAATCCAGCCGCGCCAGCGAGAAAGCCCTTGGAATGCGCGGGGGCGCCCCGCGGGGGGGGAGGACAGAGGGGGAGGGGCGGGAGGAAGCGGCGGGAAGACCCAGCTCTCTCCCGCGATGTTCGTTGTTTCAGTCCGGGCGTTTTTCCCGATTTCGGCCACCCATTGCTTGATAGCTTGACTTTTTGGAAAGAGCAAAAAGATTTCGGCCACTCATGGCCCGACATCGAGCCCTGGGACCGCAACCAAAAATGGACGGGACGCACAATTGCCCCGGGGGAGGGGGTCGGGACCTCTGGGGCAGCGGATGGGAAACAGCAGACCGGCGGGTGTCAGGGAGGAGGGGTGAAAGCGGGGCGGGAGGGATCCTGTGAGAGGCAAGATCGGTATGCTCGCGTCGCATCTGGCATGTTGTCCGTCCCTCCCATCCCTTACCATGGAGTTGGGCCTCCTCTATTCGCAATCGGGTGTCGCAGAGGGCACGGGCTCCGACAGGGCAACTTCGTCCTAGAGGCCCCCCGAGACCAAGAGACGGAAGAGGGATGAGGGAGGCGGAGGGGACCTGGGAGGGGCATGAAGGAGACGGAAATAGCGACACGCAGGAGCCATACAAAGGAGACACAAACTACACGCTGTCACCATACAACGGCCATCGCTGCGGCGAGAACGACGCTCCGCTCGACGCAATTTCCGCAACGCAGTAGGAGTGCGTTCCGTTGGACACCGCGATGGAAGCCCTAAAACGTGGCAGACGCGCCAGCGGGAACATCACTCTTTTCTGCGGATGTAGTACGACCAGCGCGGCGGCGAGAGCATCGCTCGGGGACTTCGTGGGACAGGGGGGCTCTATGGAAATCTCTACTTGCTACAGCGGGAGCTCCTAATTTTAGGAAGAATATGGCCAACGCTTTGGCGAGAACGTAAGTCCACGGGGCGGAAACTCCAAGCAGATCTGGAAACGTGCCAAACGTGTCAGCGGGAACACTAACTTGCCGGTGCCAAAAAAATGCGGCCATCGCTGCGGCGGGAGCGTCGTTCTGTCGGACGGAGGCTCTATGTGAAATGGGTTGGATGCTGCCACCGTTGGAGCCTGAGCGCAACTTTTGAAGGGCAGAGCGCGGTCTGATGGAACAGCCCAACTCAAACCGTATTGGGGTGATCCAGTAGAAGAAGATTCCGAATGCCCGAATCGGCGGGGAAGCAGAAAGACAGTATCAGGGCAGAGAGATGACAAGGTTCACATGCTGTTGAATTCTGGATGAGAGAGAAAGAGCGAGAGCGAGTACTGAATACATATAAACATGTATACATACAGAAGAAATAGATGGAGCGCGAGAAGGAACGAGAGAGAGGGAGGGGGAGAGAAACAGTGAGAGAGAGGTAAAGAGCGAGAATGGGAGAGACTAATAGAGAGAGAGAGAGAGAGCGAGAACGAGATAGAGAGAACTAGATGAGGGGGGGGGAGAGAGAGAGAGAGAGAGAGAACAAAAAACAAAACACAAATAAAGAAGTAGGACGAGATATAGAGAAATACTTTAGAGAGAGAGAGACAGAGAAACAAAACAAACAATACACAACACGCACATACACATATATATACATATATATATATATGCAGAGCGAGAGAGAGAGAGAGAGAGAGAGAGAGAACGAGAGAGAGAGAGAGAGTTGAAGGGGAAAAGAGAGAGAGCGAGAGAAAGAGAGAGAGAGAGAGAGAAATATGAAGGAGGGGAAGGGGGGGAGAGAGAGTGAGAGAGAGAGAGCGAGAGCGAGAGAGGACGAGAGAGAGAGAGAGTGATATACTTCAGCGGGAGAGAGAGAGAGAGAAACAACACAATAGAGAGAGAGAGAGAAAGAGAGACAGGCAAAACAACAAGCAACACAACACACACATAGAGAAAGAGAGAGAGAACCAACAGAGAAAGAGAGCGAACTGGAGTGGGGACGCAGCAGGAGAGGGACAGAGGGGCAACGGAGGGAGAGGCAAGGGGGACCAGAGGGGGGCGGCGGAGGGGGAGGGAGACACCTTGAGAGCGACCGCCCGGGAACGTGGAGCGGAGGCGGAGATGAGAGCAGACAAGGGGGCGGCGGGTGCCACGACTAGCTGCTCTGCCGGGCTGGCCACCCCACGGGAAGCGAGCGGGCGAGCGGATGGTGAGCACGAGGTGCGACTCCAGGGCGCCGCCCCTCCCTCCCCTGCTCGCGCCACGCTCTGCCCCTCCACCCCCCCTTCGCCCTCCCTCTCCGGGTCCCTGTCCACCAGCTTCTTACCCTTCCCACTTCCCCCTCCCCCTCCCCTTCCCCCTTCCCCCTCCGTCTCCTCCTCCTCCTGCTCCTTCTTCTCCTCCTTCTCCTCCTCCTCCTCCTCCTCCTCCTCCTCCTCCCCGTCCTCCTCCTCCTCCTCTCATCTCATCTCAATCTCCCCCCCCCGTTCCCTTACACTGCTCCTGCGCATGGACGCTTTTCGGGCCGATCGTGTCGGGTCATCCTTACCCCTTCCCAACCACCGCCGGGATTTCTGAAGCTTTCGCGCCGAATCCAGCTGCCTCGCAGCGTGCCGCACCCGTCTGCTGCTGCCAAAACAGCGGAGACGCCCCCCCCCAACACACACACACACACATACACACACACACAACACAACACAACACAACACAACACAACACACACAACACAACACAACACAACACAACACAACACAACACAACACAACACAACACAACACACACACACACACACACACACACAACACGACACGACACGACACGACACGACACGACACGACACGACACGACACGACACGACACGACACGACACGACACACGACACGACACGACAAACACAACACAACACAACACAAACACACACACAACACAAACAACAACACAACACAACACAAACACAACACCAACACAACACAACACAACACAACACACACAAACCACAACACACACGCGCACGCGCACGCGCACGCGCACGCGCACGCGCACGCGCACGCGCACGCGCACACGCGCACACACGCACACGCACACGCACACGCACACACGCACACGCGCACACGCACACGCACACGCACACGCACACGCACACGCACACGCACACGCACACGCACACGCACACGCACACGCACACACACACACACACACACACACGAATTATCCAGGCGAAGGGCCCAGAACATGCAGTGGTGAGCACCGCACTTGCGCACATCGCCTCCAATGGAGCTCTTTATGTGGCCACTGGGCGTGTCAGAGGTGTGCCAGAAGCTGTCTGGGAGCGCACAAGGGCCCTGCCACTGGGAGTCCCTGTGGGGCCACGAAGCGTGCGAGTCCTCCTCCTCCTCCTCCGCCTCCTCCTCCCCCTCCCCCCGTCCCTCCTTCCCGCCTTCCCTCCCTCCCTCTCTAGGGGTGTGCCGACATGGGCGGGGGGGTGCATGTTAGCTGTGCCACTGGGGTCTTCGGTGGAGCTCTTGATGTGGCCACGAAGCGTGTAATGGAGGCGTGCCAAACATGCCCTTACAAAAGCATGCGCCCCCCCCCATGAGGGCTTCGGTGGAGCTCCCTGTGGGGCCACGGAGCGTGTGAGAGATGTGCCGACATGGCTTCGGTGGAGTTCCCAGGTGGGGCCACGACATGGGTGAGGGTTGTGTCAGAAACTGTAAAAAAGAGCATGCGCCCCCCCGATCCTGGAGGCTTCGGCGGAACACCCTATGGGGCCACGATCATCATGGGGGGCCACAACGGGGGGGCCACTTTGGGGGGCCACGATGGGGTGATCGGGACAAGGACTGCGGGCTAGGCGTTTTGGGGATAACCATAGAAGTGGGTATATAGGGCTGGGGGTGGTGCTCGAGATACAGGATGACAATACATATGGATAGGGGTAGGGCTCGAGGCAGAGGGACCGGGAGACACAGTGGGACACAACGGGAGAAGTGTGGAGACAAAATGAGGAGACAGCGAGAGGCAATGGGGACACCGCTGCCCAACCGACTCCGGATCGGGCGGCGAACCCGCTGGTTCCTTAGAGCATGGCACCTTTACCTGGCCATCGCTCGGGCGTCCATTTCCTGTGCTTTTTTCGGTTTCGTGCGTGGTTTTTTCGCCAAATGATCAAGGATGCTCCTCGATGGTCCTCGCCGGAGGAAAAATGCACAAGTCCGAGCGATGCCGAGTTACACGCACGCCGTCTGGGGACCACCAACGGGATCCTCCGACGGCCAGTTGTCGGCGTCTTGTGGCGCATGCGCATCGCACAAAACCGTGGCACACGCGGCTGTGGTTGAGGCGCCGTCCTGTCGAGCGATGCCGGGCGGGCCACGGTCGCGCGCCCAGCGTGAGCGTGTCAAAATCATTCGAGACCATCCTCCTCTTTCCAACCAAGGGGGGGGGGGGAAAGTGGGGGCCTACAGGGCATTTTTTAATACATTTTTTATATCAGAAACATGGGATGTTTAATGCACGATTCACTTATGAATGAATTGATGCATGAACTCATCGTTGTTTTTAATACAAAATCCCTGCATCTTTAATACATGATCCGCACGCGGAGCATGTATTAAAACCGGCATTGTATTCGTTGTGCCTGTTTTGCGCAGCGCTTCGCAATCGGGAGCCCAGATCCCTCCGGCTCAGCCCCGGAGGAGGCGAGGATGGGGGCCAGGCGGGGGGGGAGGCGCGCGCACCTCCCCCGAGATATAGAGGAGCAATCCGCTGCACAGACCTAAGTCGGGCGTGTCCCCCCACAGGGGGAGCTTCGACGAACAAATAAAAATGCTCCAAAAATAATAAAAAAATAATCCAAACATAGTCTGGGGATTTTTTTTTTGTATTATTTTTTATTGTTTTGTGTATTTTCAGGGTATTTTCAATTCTTCGTCGAAGAACCCCCTGTAGGGGGACGCGCCCGACATAAGCATAGACATAGCTTTTGGGGTATTTTGTGTGCATTTGGGAGGTATTTTTGTTGATTTGGGGGGTATTTGGGGGGTATTTTTTGGGAATACTTTGGGGGTATTTGGGGGGTATTTTGGGGGTACTTTTAATTTTTCATCGAAAACCCCCCTGTATGGGGGACGCGCCCGACATAAGCGTAGACACAGCTTCTCGGAGGTCCGCGCGGATGGCTCGCGTCGGCGGTGGGCCCCCCCCCAACCCCGGCACGCGGGGGCGCGCCAGAGGGGCGGCGGCCGGCAAGCGCCGCCCACGGGGGGGCCCCGAGCCAATGCGAGAGACGAGCGCGGACGTCCGGGAAAATCGCGCTTGTGCTAACTTTTTGTCCCTCGGAGGAACTTTTTGTCCCTCGGAGGAACGGAGGAACTTTTTGTCCCTCAGGGAACGGAAAATCGCGCTTGTGCTAACTTTTTGTTCCTCTCGGAGGAACGGAGGGAGGCGGAAGAGAAAGGGCGGGCAGGAAGGCGGGGGAGGAGGGGGAGGAGGAGGAGGAGGAGGAGGAGGAGGAGGAGGAGGAGGAGGTGATGAAGATGAAATGATGGCACGGAGCCAATCGCGAAGCGGTCCGAAGAGTAAGCCACCCTCCGAGCACCACGAGCAGCATGACCAAGAAGCAGAAGACCGCCGACTCCAGCAAATACTCTGCAAGCAATTCACAAAAGGCGCCAGAACGATGTCATAATGTGAATGAACACTAAGCTGCAGGAAAAAGACTCTATTACGCACACCGCACAGCCACTCACCGTGTACAGCTCTTGCAACTCGACAGTGGAGCGGATCGCCTACCCCACAGACAGCCTCGCTCCATAACCCCGACACCAGCTGTAAACATATGTCCCTATTGCCTTGGCCAGTGCACAGTGTAGACGTGACAGACACCATTTCGCCTGAACACCACGACCAGCGTGACCAAAAAGCAGAAAACAGGCCGATACCAGCACGAACACTGCAAACATTTCACCGTGTGGCCCCAAACCACGACCGTGATAGAGCAGGGAAGAAACCTGAAACATGACAGCCGCCCCACCACCGCACTTGTGCTATGAAAACACATGTACCTCTCGCCTTGACTGAAACGCCACGAACAGAGCGACCAAGAAGCAGAAATCACGCCGATACCAGCATGCACTCAGCAACACATTCACCGTACTGCCCAAAACCAAGACCGTAAACAGCAGGAAACAAAGCTGCAATGAGATGACAGCCGCCCCACCACCACATAAGTAATATGAGACTCAGGTCCCTCTTGCCTTGACCAATCGCCAATGCAGAAAAGACAAACATTGCACAAACACAATTGCACGCACAACCGTGACACTATGCACGATGCGTGGAACGAGCCATGCTGAGGTACCCAGAAAGTATGTAGAGCGCACGGGGAAAGCTGCCAATCCCATAAGCAGCAACGAGTAACCAGCACAAGTGAGAGGAGGAGGAGGAGGAGGAGGAGGAGGAGGAGGAGGAGGAGGAGGAGGAGGAGGAGGAGGAGGAGGACGAGGACGAGGAGGAGGAGGAGGAGGACGAGGAGGAGCAGGAGGCACCCCGCGCATTGCTGAGAGGCGGCCTCGTTCGGCCGACGGGCCGCGCAGAGCGGCCAAATGCCGGATGCGGAGGAGAATGCGACGCTCATAGGAAGCGTCGCGCTGTGCACAAAACCCACAGGTGGGATGATGATGATGATGATGATGACGATGATGATGATGATGATGATGATGATGATGATGATGATGATGATGATGATGATGATGATGATGATGATGATGATGATGGTGATGAGGCTGATGCTGATGCTGATGCTGCTGATGATGCTGATGATGCTGATGATGGTGATGATGCTGATGCTGATGCTGATGATGATGATGCTGCTGCTGCTGATGATGATGATGATGATGATGAGGAGGAGGAGGAGGAGAAGCATAGTTGACGCCGCGGGCGCGACGCCCCCATGGCCCGGCAAAGAAGAAGCGCATGCGGGATGCGGCCGGGGGAGGGAGGGCCAGACGCCTCCGGAGCTCCGGCCGCTGCTCTGGGTCGCTCAGCCTCAGCTCGTGGACCTCCAGCACGCCCTCGGGGCGGGGCCGGCCGACGAGGTGCTCCGCGCCCGCCTTCTCTTCCAGCCCCACCCCCCGGCCTCCCCGTGGTCGGTGCCGAGGGCCTCTGGCTCCCAAAGGCTGCAGCACTGCTCCTACTCCCCCTCCTCCTCCTCCTCCTCCTCCTCCTCCTCCTCCTCCTCCTCCTCCTCCTCCTGCTCCTCCTCATCCTCCTCCTCCTCCTCCTCCCGCTCCCCGTCGTATGCCGCATCCTTCTACTCGTCCTCCCCCTCCTCGTCGCTCTTTCGCCTTCCCTCCGTTCCCCTTCCCCACGTCCGCCCGCTCCCTCTCCCTCCCCCCTCCCTCCTCCTGCTGCCGCGGTTGCTCCTCCCCAGACCGTACTCCTCCTTGCCCTCGTGCGTCATCGCCCTCGACCCACCCCCCCGTGCTTTGAGATCGCTGTTGTTTTTCGGCGATCGCCCAGGCTATTCCGTGGGAGGAGGGGAGGGGAGGGAGGCGAGAGCCGATAATTGGCGGCGGGCGAGGGGGGGACATGAGAAGGAGAAGGCCTTCTCAGAAGGCTCGGAAGTCCCGCAGCCTTCTGAGAAGTTTCCTGAGCTCTCCCTGAAGACACAGAACACCTTTCAGAAGGTGCGAGGGCTTCTGAGAAGTCCCGCCGCCTTCTGAGAAAGCCTTCTCCTGGAACGCCCGCGGCGACGCGCAGCTGCTGGCAAGCCTCCCGAGGCCCGAAATCCGCCGAGAACCGATGATCGGGCCTGGCGAAAGGGGGGGATAGCAAAGGGGGGGTTTGAGAATCAGCTCACGTAGCTGATTTTCCCGGCGCTTCCCAGCGCCAGGAGGCGCCCATGTATCGAGGAATGGGCCCGGCGGCGGGGCCGAAACCAGCTGCATGCAGCAGATTTCGTAACCCCCCTTTCCCAATCCCCCCTTTTCGTTCGGCCCGAGATGCACGACACCGAAGACCTCGGACCTCGAGCCCGAAGCTCTCCCCCCCCTCGCTCGCCGCCGAGACAGCAACAAACCTCTCTGAGGCAGCCCCGCGCCCGCCCGCACGCGGTCCAGCACGGCGTAGCTAATTACCCCCTCCGGACCTGGGCAGCCGGTGAGGCCGGGCTATCACGGGGAGGGGGGGCGGGGGTTACGTCGGGCCTGTCCCCCCACAGGAGGATTTTCGACGAAACATAAAACATACCCCCAAAATAATCAAAACATAATGCAAAAACAGTCTGGGGACTATTTTTGAATATTTTTGGCCTTCTTGGAGTATTTTTGGGGGTATTTTTGAAGGTATCTTTTATTTTTCATCGAAAATCCCCCTGTAGGGGGACACGCTCGACATAAGGGTGGGGGGGGTGCGCCCGGACCCAGGCGCTCCGGGGGCGTCCCCCCGTAGAGCGCCCTGGAGCGGCCCATCCCGCTCCTGGGCCTGCCTGAACCGCTCGCTCTCTCTCGCTCTTGCTTTTTCCCCTCTCTCTCTCCCTCCCTCTCTCTCTCTCTCGCCCTCTCCCTCTCACTCTCCCTCTTTTTTTTTGTTCTCTCTCTCTCTCTCTTTCTCTCTCTCTCTCTCTTATTTTTCTTCTTCTTCTTCTTCTTCTTATTATTAGTATTATTATTATTATTCTTATTCGTACTATTATTATTATTATCATTATTATTATTACTATTATTATTATTATTATCAGTATGATTAGTTTGTTTGTTTTGTTTGTTTGTTTGTTTGTTTGTTCTCTCTCTCTCTCTCGTTCTCCCCAGGCATGTGATGTCTGGATGCTTCAGTGCGCGGCCTCCGAAATCCAAACCCTTCCCCAAGGGCCAACTTTCCTTCCGGGCCGTTTTGTGACGGTCCTGCGGCCGGGCAAGGGCTCCCAGAGGCCGAAGATCGAGAACAGCCTCCATCCTGACTCTGTCGAGGCCTTGAATGTCTGGGTCTGTCTCTCCTCGTCACGCACCTTCTCCCTGCCCTTCGCACGGAGCTGTCGCTGGCCTTGTCGACGATCCTCAGAAAACTTTGGGTTTCTTAATAAGCGTGGGGGGGTTCCCCCCCCGACGGGGGTCAACCTCGCCTCCGGGTCGGAGCGCCTTCGGCGCGCGGTGGCTGCCCGCGACGGGGGTCGATGTGGGGCTGCCGGTGGGGGTGACGCACCCCCGACGCTTATCAAGGAACTCGGAGCATGCACTGCGTAGTGCCAACGTGTCCTGGTCCACCGGCGCCCTTCAGAACGATGCAGCAGGTGCAAACGATGGCCGTCACAGGCCAGACGGAGTATACACAGATTGGGCTGACGCGCGTTCTTGGAGCAGGGGCCAACCGTCCCAGCATTCTCAAGGGCCCACCACGCCATGTTCTTGGAATAACAGAATGTTCCAGTGACGAGGACAATGCTCCTAGAACCTACGTGGAGCCGATGTATCACACCAGAGCGGTGTCAGCCAGAAGTGCTGAACTGACATGTGGCAAAGCCATAGAGCAAGGTTCTCAGAGCAGTCTTTGGTGCAGAAGAGGCCTCCTGCACGGGGTCGGACCTGATGGGGCGAGAGCATTGCGCCGCATCCCAGAGGCATCGGCGGGGAGCAGTCCTGGCCCCACCTCGAGCCACCGCGCCGAGGCATCGACGGAGGGGGTCTGGCATTGGGGGGGGGGGCATCGACCTGGAATCGGCGATACATCGCCGATAGATCGGCGATAGGCCCCCGATAGTTTATTTCGCACATTCCTGGGCGGGTTCGGGCTATCGAGCCCCTGGCGGCGATCAATGGGCGATGAAGGGTCGATGCATCCACCCTATACCTCTCACCCCGTATCATTGCCCCTGATGTTAGACGAAGAATGGCATAAACATAACCATGTGGCGCTCCGTGCGGATTTCTGGGATCTGCGCTGGGCCCCCCCCGGGCGGCGCCTTGGGGGATGGGGAGAAGAGTATTTCGGAGGGGCAGTGGGGGAGCAGGAGGGGGAGAAGAGGGAGAAATGGCGCCTCGTCGGTGCCGAGCAGCAGCAGCTCCGCGGGGCACCAGGCACCGGGGCCCAGGCCCATGTCCGCGGCGGTGATCGCTCCTGCTCGCAGCGAGGTGGGAAGACACTGACGACGACAACGACGACGGCGACGACCACGGCGACGACGACGACGACCACGACGACGACAACGACTACGACGACGACCACGACGACGACGACAACGACGACGACCATGGCGACGACGACGACGACGACGACCACTACGACGACGACCACGACGACGATGACCACGACGACGACGACGACGACGACGACGACGACGACGGCGACGGCGACGACGATGACGACTACGACGACGACCACGACGACGAAGACGACGACAACGACCATGACGTCGACGACGACGACGACGATCACGACGACGACGACGACGACGACGACGACGACGACGACGACGACGACGACGACCACAACGGCAAGAACGCCGACGACCAAGACGACGGCGAGGAAGCGCGCCGCGTGGTCGATTCAGTGCGTCGTCACTCCCTTCCACCTTCGTCCCTCCTCCGACTCTTCCTCTTGCCTCAACCTGCCTCCTCCAGTCCCCCCTCTCCTCCGACCCTCCCCCTGCAGATCCTCTCGGTCCCCCTCCTTCCCCCCCCCTCTCCTCCTCTCCCTCCTGCGTGCTCCCCCTCGTCGGTCCTCGCCCTCCTCCTCGTCCTCTACGTGAAGCCTCTGGAGGCAGCCTGGGCGCTCTCAGCACCTCGCGAGCCGCCCCGAGCCCCCCGGACGAGATACAACAGTCGGGGCGCTGAGGAAGGAACCCTTTTCGTTGGGGAGGGGCTCGGTGTTCCTTAGCTGTTTTGCAGTTCGCCTTTGTCTTTGCTTAGGGCTTCGATGGGAAATCGAAGCTTCACTTATGGGAAAGAGGGGCCTCGTTCCTTATTTATGGTTCCTTAGGTCAACGCCCCGACTGTACCCCGAGGGCCCTTCCGCCGCCCCGCCACCCACCGACGGCTCCGGCGGCCCGTCCGGCCCGTGAAGCCTCTGGAGACAGCCTGGGCGCTCTCAGCACCTCGCGAGCCGCCCCGAGCCCCCCGGACGAGCCAGCCCCCAGGGGCCCTCCCGCCGCCCCCGCCACCCGCCGACGGCTCCGGCGGCCCGCCCGAGCAGCCCCGAGGCCGAGGCGGGCACCCTCGGGGGCGCCACGCGCGAGGACCCTCCCAAGGGCGCTCTCCGCGCCAGGGGTACAGTCGGGGCGTTGACCTAAGGAGCCCTACATAAGGAACGAGGGCCCTTTTTCCATAAGTTAACCTTCGAGTTCCTGTCGGAAACATAAGGAAAGCCTGAGGCAAGCTGTGAAACACTTAAGGAACGCGGAGCCCCTCCCCAACCAAAAGGGTTCCTTCTTCAGGGCCCCGACTGTACGTGTGGTGGCATGCCGCGAAGCGACTTGAATAAAAACCTAGCGTGGGGACAGCCAGGGTCGGGAACGTCTGGCAGCACGCCATGCCCTGCGAGCGGACAGCGTGTTGCTTCGCTCCGCTCCGCGGGGGGGCTCGGAAAGGCTCTGGACGTTGACGCCTAGGGACCTGGACGTGGATGGCGTGCCGCGCCGAAGCGTGGTGGGCCAGAACTGGCGGAGCGACACGCCAAGCCAACGTTCCAGACCGTAGGTCTTCATACGCCTCACGATTGTCGGCTTAGGTGCCGAGGTGGCCCCCATTCAGGCCATCTGGCAACTGCATGGCAGGGACGAGCGTGGCGAGGGAAGCATCACAGCGTTGCAGCCCCCGCCGCCCGATGCCCCCAGACAGAGGAGCACGGTCGGCATCGGCGTCCCCACGGTGGCTGGGGTCCCGCCCGCCGTCTGGGGATACAGTTTTGATCCGCGGGTCGAGAGCGCACCTCTTCCGGTCGAAGCTAAGCGGGCCGCGCGAAGCTTGAATTAGGCGGAGGGAGGGGAGGAGAAAGCGGCGGGGCCTCAGGGCGAGGCCGAGGGCCGTCTGGGGATACAGACAGATGCCGATACCGCTACTCCGTGGGCCTCGCCCGGGGCGCGTTCCGACCAGAACTTCAAGCACACGCCACAGAACAAAACAGACTCTGGTGACGAGGGCCCTCCAGCACAGAGCAGCGGTGTCGGTACCACCACCGGCTTCTCCTCGAGCCTTTCCCTCCAATCTCCCTTCCCCCAGCACCCTCCTCTTCCTCTTCCTCCTCCTCCTCCTCCTCCTCCACCTTATTCTTCCTCCTTCTCCTTTGCCCTCCGGAGTGCAGCTCCTGCTCCTGCTCCCGTGCCCCTCCCTCCTCCTCCTCCTCCTCCTCCTCCTCCTCCTCCTCCTCCTCCTCCTCCTCCTCCTCCTCCTCCTCCGCCCGTGCCCTCCTCCTCGCGTGCCCTCCCGAGCGCGCAGCTCCTGCGCCCTCGGGGACGGCACCGCCCCTGCCGGGCGCTTCTCGGCCTTCCCCCCCCCCCCCTCCCGCGGCAGCCCTGTGGCGCCAGACGCTCGCGTTGGAGCCGGGCCCCTGCGGCGGCGCCTCCCCCGCAGCTCGGGTCGGACGACCGTCGGGGCCATCCACGAAAGTGACGGGACCCAGCCGGAAATGTTACGCGAGCTCCCGCTGCAGACGTCCCACGACAAAACATCGGACCGCCAAAATCCAGGGCGCGCTCGTCAGAGAAGGTCGACGAGCCCGAGTCCTGGCGCAGTCGAGTCGTACGTGTCCCCGAGAACAGGTGGGGTCAGGTTTCGGTCCGGCACGGGCTCCTACAGGCGGATTCCAGAGGAAGCATCAAACAAGAGTCAACACGTATTGAAGCACAGTCGAGCCATGCTCGGAACATCGGCCACAGACGATTTTTATTTCTGACTACTCTTGAAGATTCCTCCTGCAGACTGTACAGCGGCATGCCCGACTTACAGTTAGTATAAGGGGGAGGGGGCGGGGCGGGGGGGGGGGCAACCCCCTCTCGTATCATCGAGGGCCGCGCCCGGCGGCACGTCCGAAGAAACCAGCTGCTGCATACGCGGCACGTTTTCCGTCTGACCGGGCATCTCGGCAGCCAGGCGCGAAGACAGCGGCGGCGCCCGTGGCCAAGCCGCGCGCGGAACTAACTTTGCATCCGGGGCCGCTTCAGGGGCGGAATCATATATAGACAACGCAAGAGTGGCAACCGGATCGGCGACGCCCATCCTGCTGCACTGCGTGCAGAAGTTGCCAAAATGCTGGATCATTCCCGTGAACATTCGATAGAGGACAAACAACGGCATAAGCATAAACTTGTCGCGCTCCGCGCGGATTTCTTGGATCTGCGCTGGACCCCCGTCCCTGGCGCGCGGAGCGCGCCAGGGGCGGCGCCAGTGGCGCCGCCGGGGGGGCTCAGCGCGGATCCAAGAAATCCGCGCGGAGCGCCAACAGTTCATGTTCATGTAGTTGTTTGTTCTTCGAGCCGAGTGGCAACCTAAGCGGCGACGCCCTTCCTGCTGCATTGCGCTCCGAAGTTGTCGGAGAGTACTGGATCATCCCCACGCGCGTTCGAGGCGTGTTGTCGCGTCCTCCGCGTCGTGTTGAGCTGCACGTCGATACTACCCTGGCTCGGCAGGCAGGGCGGGCGCATCTGCAGCTGCCACCACCTGTCTGGGCGAAACGATGCCCCTGCGAAGCTGACCGAGCAGACATGAACACACCCTGGGTCGTACTCCTGCCGTGTCACCGCGTGCCCAGCTCCGAGTACGTACGCGAGGAGTGCCTTGCTGCACTCGCTCCCCAGTCGTCCGGACAACGAGGAACGGCCCGACCGCCCCGAGACGGCCGAGGTCGCCGCCGGGTCCTCTGGGCCGCGGCCTCGACTGGGAGCAGGCAGAGAGCTGCTCGCTCCCCTGCGCGCCGCGGCCGCGGCCGCGCCCCCTCTCTGCGGTGTGCGCGCGGCCTCCGGGTTAACAACAGGGCCCCCCCCCTTGCGCGCCTAGGGCTGCCCGTCCGCGCCGCCGCCGCCGCCGTGCAGCCGCAGGTAGCGGGCCTGGGCGGCGCTCAGGGCCGCGAGGACCTCCCGCGACGCGAGGAGCCCGACCCGAGGGCCTGCGGCGGCCGCCTCCTCCTCCGCGCCCCCGCCGTCGCCGCCACCGGCGGCGCGCGCGGGCGCCCAGGCGGCGGGCTCCGCCGCAATCGTCAGCGCCCCGCGCCCCTGCTCCGAGCCCGCCGCGGAGGAGCCGCCGTCCGAGCTGCAGGGCTCGGAGGCGGCGGCCGCCGCGGCCCGGTCGTAGCGGGGCGCGGCGGCCTTGCCGCCGCGGGGCCGCCAGCCGGCCTGCGCGGCCGCCAGGCCGGCCCCGGCGGTCTCGAACGCGGCGGCCGAGCACGCCAGGCTCGCCCTCTGCGCCGATGCGGCCGGGGCCGGCAGCGGCCTCTCCAGGGTGTAGGTCCCAGCCCGCAGGCGTGCGCCAGTGAGCGCGGCCGCTGCAGGCGCCGCCGCCGAGCGGAGGCAGGGGGCCGCCTGCTCTTCTTGACGGTGCCGCAGCCCCAGAGGGCCGCTCGTGGTGCGCCTCCAGGCGCCCAGGTGGCCGAGGTCGAACTGCGGCGGGGGCGCGCGCTGGATGGCGGGCTGTCCGCCCGATCCTTCGGCAACGCCAGCAGGTGCGGCTGCGACGCCCTCGCTGGCTCCCGTGGCCGCCCGCGCATGCAGCGAGGCCCCCGCCGGCTGTTGCGGCTCGTGCGCCCCGACCGGTGCCGGGTCCTCCTTTGCCGGCGCCGCCCCGGCCTCGTGCTCCAGCCGGGCTGCCTCTCGGCGTGCGGCCGCGATCTCGGTGCGGAGGAGGGCTGCCGTCTCGGCCCGCCGCTGCATCTCGCGCTCGTGCCCCGCCCGCCGCTCCGCCAGGTCGCGCCGGAGCTCTGCCTGGGCACGAACGGCCTCCTCGTGCCGCTGCCTCCAGGCGTCCGCAGCTCTGGCCTCAAGTCGGGCGTGCCCCCCTACAGGGGGATTCTCGACGAAATAAATTATCCCAGTGCGACCCTACCTAGGAGTTGGAGCCCCCAGGAAAGCAGCATTAGTAGTAACAGTAAAGCTAAGCTAAAGCTAAGCTAAAGAGAAACTAAAGCTAAGCTGAAGCTAAACTAAAGCTAAGCTAAGCTAAGCTAAAGCTAAATATACGTTAAAGCTAAGCGACAGCTAAGCTAAGGCTAAGCTACATCTAAGCTAAATCTCAGCGAAAACTCAGCTACAGCTAAGGTAAAGCGAAGGTACAGGTAAGGTAACACTAAGGTAAAGCTAAGGTAAAGCTAAGCTAATGCTAAGGTAACCCTAAGCTAAAGCTAAGCTAAAGCTAAGCCAAAGCTAAGCTAAAGCTAAACTAAACCGAAGCTAAAGCGAAGCTAAAGCGAAGCTAAAGAGAAGCTAAAGCTAACTTGAAGCTAAAACCAAGTTACAGCTAAGCAAACGCCAAGCGAAAGCTAAGCTAAAGCTAAGCTAAAGCTAAGCTAAAGCTAAGCTACAGTTAAGCTAAGGCTAAGCTAAAGCTGCGCTAAAGCGAAGCTAAAGCTAAGCTAAAGCTGCGCTAAAGCGAAACTAAAGCTAAGCTAAAGCTAAGCTAAAGTTAAGCTAAGGCTAAGCTAAAGCAAACTGGGGGAACCGCGGGGCGGATGCCGGGGGAACCGCCCGGGGCGGTTTCCATTGCCCGGCCCTTTAAGCTTACAGGGTCAGAACTCTTCTAGGCAGAGCCTAGGTAGGGAGAAATACCCCAACATGTTCCCAAATGGTCCAAAGATATAAGAAATAGTTCCCAGACGATTTTCTGACTATCTTGGAACATCCCTCCTGTAGAGGGACAGGCCCGACTTAACTCTGGCCTCGGGCCCCGCCTGCAGGGCAGCCCCCGGCTCCGCGACGCGGACCGTGCTGCCGCCGTTGAAGGCGCCCTTCAGGTGCAGCTCGGACTCGAAGGGGGGCACGTCCAGGGCGCGGTTGGGCCCGCTCTCCCACTCGACGCTCCTCGTCTAGGGGGCCACACGCGAGCCCTACACTTAAGTCGGGCGTGTCCCCCTACAGGGGGATCTTGGGCGAAAACAAAAGTACTCCCCAAATATTCAAAAGTAGACAAAAAATCGTCCCCCGACTATTTTTTTTTTTTTACTATTTTTGAATATCCCCCCTGTAGAGGGACAGGCCTGACTTAACCCTACCCCTACACCCCGCGACTTCTGAGGGGGAGGGTGGGGTTCACTTCGCCCGGGAGCTCCGAGCGAAGTGGGCCCCACCCTCCCCCTCAGAACCCTCAGAAGTCGTGGGGGGCAGGGGCAGGGTTCGCATGTGGCCCCCCATCGTAGGACAAAAGATGGCATGAACGCATCCTTTCGGAGGTCCGCGCTGATGTCTTGGATCGGCGCTGGACACCCCCCCCCTGGCGCGCGGAGCGCGCAAGGGGCGGCACCGGAGGCGCCGCTAGGGGAGCCCCAGCGCCGATCCAAGAGATCTGCGCGGACCGTCGAACGTGTATGCTTATGCCTTCTCAAGAGGGCACGCGATTTCCGCCAGTTCCTGCCACTTCTCAGGGAAACGCACGACTCCGCCAGAGCTGCTGAGGACAATACGCAAGTATTGAACGGTGCCAGCGAACGGCGAGCTCGGGCCGACTGGCGGCTGCTTGAGGTCTGGACTTCCTCGGAGTGCCCTGCACCCTCGGGCAGACACGACCAAATTCGACGCCCGGGCGATCCACGAAGCCCCATATTTCTGAATGCGCGGTCCTCCAAGTTCCGGCCCGTTCTCCAGGACACACTTCTTCGTCTGGGGTATATAGCTTGGCATGGTCCCAGGACTCTGCGAGGGCCCCCGGAGGCTGAACAGTGAGAAACGCATCCGCCCTGATTTGGCTGCAGGACGCGAACAGGTATGGGTCCATAGAAACAATGCTAGGGCCATGCTTTGCTGCTCGACGCTCCCTGGCGTGAGCTTGACGAACTTGTACTCGACCCGCTGGCCCGCCGGCACCGCGACCTGAGGGGCAACGATAGGGGGGGATAATCATAGGGGGGGGAAGTGGGACGCACAGAGACATGCTGATACTGTGTGTCCTCCTTGCAGGCGCGCGTCCGACCCCGAACAGATAGTATACCCATCTTGCAGTAGATCGTTTCCCGAGCGGTGTGGCCAGAACGCGCCCGCCACGACTGATATACTGTAAGATGTCTCGGTGCGCGCGTCGCCCCTGAGGGGGCGACGCATACATAGTATTAGTAATGCGGGATGACGATTAAATAAAAAATGGGGAAGAGAACGATTAAAACAATAGTCTTCTGCTATTTCTGCAAAATTTTCTGACTGGAGGAGAACGATAAAAAATAGTTTTCCAGCCCGCGGCCGGTTTTTTCTAATCGTCATCCCGGGCGCCGCCGCGTGAACACGACCCCCGGTCATTTATTAATCGTCATCCTCCATTTTGTGTGGGTGACGCCCAGGAAACATCGACCTGGAATCGGCGATACACGTCGCCGACAGATCGGCAGCAGGCCCCCCGATGGTGCGTCCGCACTCTCCGGGGCAGGCTGGGGCTGTGGGGCCCCCATGTCGGCGATCACTGGGCGATTGGGGGTCGATGCACTTCCCATGCCTACAGTCGGGGCGTTGACCTAAGGAACCCTAAATAAGGAACGAGGCCCCTTTTTCCATAAGTTAGACTTCGATTTCCCATCGAAGACATAAGGAAAACCTGAGGCAAGCTGCGAAACACTTAAGGAACGCGGAGCCCCTCCCCAACGAAAAGGGTTCCTTCTTCAGGGCCCCGACTGTATGTCACCCGAGCGTCGCCCCCCGGTTTTCGGCTCGTGCCTCGGCTCTCCGGCGGCCGCTCAGGGAGTATCCGGGCACCCCCGGGACAGCTCTCGGCGAGGCGCAGCCGCTGGAAGGCCTCCCGAGGCTGGAAAGCCGAGGAGGCCCAGCGGCACGAGAACCTCCGGAAACCTCCAACCCTCGAAGCCCTTCGCCCCCCCTCCTGGGCCTATCAGTTGCCTCTACGCTTATAGGGGTGGTCGGGCATGTCCCCCTACAGGCGGATTGTGGACGAAACATAAGGGTAGCCCCAAAATAGAGCAATAGAAAAACCGTCCCCAGACTATGTTTGAACTATTCTTGAATATTCCTCCTGTAGGACGTGCCCGACTCAACCTTACGCCTATCCCCCCTCCTATCGTTTGAGCGGTGGACAAACCTCCCTTTAGTAAACCACCCTTCAGTGAAAACGGCCTGGGACCGAAACTGACGGACATGGCCCCGCAAAAATGACGGCCGCGACGCCCTCTCGCGAACCGAAAACGGCCAATTCACTAATCGACGTGTCAGGGTAGGAGGTCTGTCCACCCCCGATCGTTACCCCCGTTCCTCCTGCAGAGGGACGTGCCCGACTTAACCCTACTCTTGTGGATGCCATTGCAATGGGCTAACAGTCCTATCATTGAATTTACAATGTGTTTACAGCATGTCCGAAGCATGTGTTGAGAGTCATCTGGACATGGTTTGGCAGCATGCTTCCTCTCCCTTGATCGACTCCCACAACCCTACGCCTATTCGGGAGCGGCCAAGAGGGGGTGTCCAAGAGGGGGGGGTGCAAATCATGGCCAGCGGCATGTGCGCGGCCCAGCGGGGGGGCCAGGGACGTAATGAAACAAGAAGAGACGCCCTGAGAGCTGGGGAAATATCATGGCTCCCGTCATGAAATCCGCCCCCCCCTAGTCATCACCCCCCTCTTTGCCGCCCCCGACCTCTCCACCCTCCTATCGTTGCCCCCGTCGACCGGCCGCGGCGTCACCCACGCGTCCCCGGACCACTCCAGGCGCGGCCCCGCGCGGGGGCTCCAGCCGCCCAGGGCCTCGTGCGAGCCGGTGACCGCGAAGGACTCCGCGGGGGCGGCCGCCTCCAACCTAAAGAGAGGAGGGCCAAAACTGAAATCGGGCGTGTCCCCCTACAGGAGGGTTTTCGACGAACCAAGAAAATATACTCAACAAAATAATTTGTCAAAAAAAATGCGAAAATCGTCCTCCTCCTCCTCCTCCTCCTCCTCCTCCTCCTCCTCCTCCTCCTCCTCCTCCTCATCCTCCGCTTCCTCCCCCCACTCCTAGCCCTTTCGATCAAGGTCGGCGGCACTGGCCGTCAGGCCTCTCCAATATACCCAACAAGATAAATTGTCAAAAAATATGCAAAAATCGTCCCCAGAATTTTGTTTTAACTATTTTTGAATACTCCCCCTGTATAGAGGGACAGGCCCGACTTGAACCAAAACCCAGACCTCCAGAAGCAACTGCTGGGAGGTCTTCGTCGGAAAGATTTAGGAGGATTGAGCCCCATTGCGGGGCCGTTACGCCAGAAAGGGCCTCGGATTTAAGCAGGAAAAGACCGGATTAGACGGGATCAAGCCGGATTATAAGCGGGATTTAGCGGGATTAAGCCGCACTTCGGACAAGGGCAAAATCAGAATTTAACATTCCAGGAGTTGCATCTGAACTGACCCCCTCGCAACGTGACCAGAACTCACGACGGGAGGCCTTTCGCCATTTTCGGCCTCGGGGGGCCCTCGCCGGGCCTCGGGACCGTCAACAAAACGACTCGGGACGAGAAGCCGGCCCCGGGGAAGGGGTCGAGACCCCCGGGGTCGACGTCACGAAAGAGTCATGACGTCGGGGGTCCGGGAACGGCATACACCCAGAGGATTCAACGTACGAAACCGCTCCTCGCGAAGTAATCATTGGGCCCCCCCGACGCATCGAGCCCAAGATGCGCTCATGTTTGTGACCAGGTCCCTACATTCTTGGCCTTCCAGACATACATATGTATGTGTATATATATATATATATATATGTATACATACACACACAGATTCACACATAGATATATACACAAATGAATACAGCAAGAGAGAGCGAGAGGGAGAGAGAGAGAGGCCTCCTAGATGGGGTCCGAGTGGCTGAGGTCGGAGGATCGTGCCGCACCGCCGATGCATCGGCGATGCATCCGCGATGCATCGGCGTGGAAGAAAAGCGGGCGCCGCATCGAGCCGCTTCGCCGACGCATCGGCGATGCGGCGCGATCTTCCGACCCCATCTTCTCCGATGCCATCTTGGAAGGGTGGACTTCTGAGCAGGGACCGACCGTCCCAGCCGTCCTGTAGGCCTACCACGAAGTGTTCGCAGAGCCAGAAAAAGCTCGAATAACAAACAAAGCGTTCTCAGAGCGAAAATCCGAAGTTGTTTAACAAAGACAGTCCCAGCCAGAAATGTCCTACGAACTTTTCGTGCAAACAACAAGAAGTTCTCAGTAGGGAACCGAACCATCTACACTGCCGTTTTTTTCTGCCCTGCACCGAAATTCGCACTGGAAAGCGGATCCTGGTGTATACGGGATCCTGGTGTGTACATGTTCCGTTGTTTCCCCAGGAAACAAGGAAAACAAGTACACACCACACCACCCCGACGTCGCCCCCTACCCTCAGAAAGGCCTGGGATTGACAAAGCAGCCCGCCTCTGGCAATGTATGTGCTCAGGGTTGCGACTTGGAACGCTCTTCGGTAGGCCTATGGGCAGGCCACGAAGCTTCGCCGCAGCTCGAGACTTGTTTCGGGCGTTGGCAGAACTGGGTTTAGTGGAACCTGGTTTAGTGATGTGTACTGGGGGAAGCCCCCCCGCCCCGTTCCACTAACCGGAGCTGCCGTCACCCGAAAAACACCAGCTACGGCAGACCTGGTTTAGCGATTCTGGCCAATCCAAGGGCCCCGGGGCCCTACCGCTAATGGAGGATGACGATGAATAAATGACCGGGGGTCGTGTTCACGCGGCGGCGCCCGGGATGACGATTAGAAAAGACCTGCCGCGGGCTGGAAAACTATTGTTTTAATCGTTCTCCTCCAGTCAGAACACTATGCAGAACTAGCGGACAACTATGTTTTAAAATCGTTCTCTCCTATTGTTTATTTATCGTCATCCCGCATTACCCGACTGTTCTCCCTCGGCCACGCAGGCCCCCGACTTCCCGACCACTTCCCTGGGACCGGTTTTTCATCCCGAGTTGTTTTTTGACGGTCCCGACGCCCGGCGAGGGCCCCGAGAGGCTAAAAACTATGAAAAACCTCTGTCTCAATTTTTTCGAGACGCCCGATGTCTGGGTCTCCCTCGACCACCGCACGTGCAGGCGCAGGCGCCCGCTCTCGGCGGCCGCGCTGGCCGCGCTCTCCCCCGCGGCCGCCGCACCGGCCAGCGCGGCGCGCTCCCCTGCCGCGGCGCCGCGGGAGCCGCCCGGGCCCGGCGGGCCCGGCCTGGGGAGGCCGAGATCGGCGACGAGCCCCAATGTGGGGAGGAGGAGGAGAAGGAGGAGGAGGAGGAGGAGGAGGAGGAGGAGGAGGAGGAGGAGGAGGAGCAGGAGGAGGAGGAGGAGCAGGAGCAGGAGGAGGAGGGGAGCTGCGTCGGCCGCGCAATTGACACGCCCACCAGGCTCGCAAAGGCTCTGAACCTCCCCGGGCCTTCTGAACAGTGTTCTGCGCCTGCTCCGAAGGCGCAGATATCACTTCTCGGGAGGAGCGAGGGCTTCTGAGGAGTCCCCCGCCTTCTGAGAGGGCCTTCGCCTTCTCACTTCCCCCCCTCGCTCGCGGCCGAAAAGAGGCTGTTTTTTATGAACGGTTTTGGCGCCGTAGCTGCTACGATACGCAACAGGCAGCACGTAGCGTATGTTGATACGGAACTACACGAGTAGACTGGAAACGCAAAGTCTGACGCGATACGGTTGCAAACACATGGGCGAATCCGCTGAGCCAACACGGAACGTGTTGGCACGTACATTACACGGAGCGTATTGGCACGAACGTTTTGAGCACGGTACGTGTTGCGTTTCAAAACGGGCGAATCGAGGCAACTGAATTTGGCAAATCTACTTGCATTGCATTTCTCCCCTGTCCTGCCCTTCCTACCCCCCTGCCGCCACCATTTCCAACAGCGCTGGGCCGAAGAAGCGTGCAGGTGAGTCCTGGCCTGCGCGAAGTCCAGCCCCTCCCCCCCTCCCCGTCCCCCCCGTGCCCCCCCTGCCGCCACCATTTCCAACAGCGCTGGGCCGAAGAGGCGTGCAGGTGAGTCCCGGCCTGCGCGAAGCCCAGGCTTCTGCTCGGGCCTCGCCGCGCCGCCCGCCCCCCCCCCCCCCCCGCTAGGGGTAGGGTTCGCATGTGCCCCCCCCCTAGGGGCCACATGCGAACCCTACCCCTAGCGGAGGAGGAGGAGGAGGAGGAGGAGGAGGAGGAGGAGGAGGAGGAGGAGGGCGAGGAGGAGGAGGAGGAGGAGGAGGAGGAGGAGGAGGAGAGGAGCAGGGGAGGAGGAGGAGGAGGAGGAGGAGGAGGAGGGAGGAGGAGGGGGCCTACCCCGCTGGCGGCGTGGTCCTAGGGGAGGGGGGGGGGTTCACTTCGTTCGGGAGCTCCCGAGCGAAGTGAACCCCCCCCTCCCCCTCAGAAATCGTGGGGGGGGGTAGGGGCGCCCCCCGACCCATGCGGGCAAACCCGCAGGAATCGAGCGAAAAAAAACGTCCTCCCAAACGCACGGGCATACCGCTATACTCCTTCTGGACCTCTCCAGGCGTGCGCGCCGACATCAGGGTTCCGAGGCGAACCCAGATTGGCGGCGCGCAGAAGGGGGTGGAGGGAGGGGGAAAGGCTTCTTAGAAGGAGGCTGCTTCTTAGAAGTCGGCGGCCTTACATCTATACATAAGGACCGCGCCTTCTAAGAAGCAGGGGTGTTTCTAAGAAGCCTTCCCCCTCCCCCTACCCTCCTCTGCGCGTGGCCGACCAGAGGCCCCGAGAGGCAAAAACAAGGCAATGGTGACAGAACTGCCGATGTGGCTGCTTCAGCCCGCGGCCCACAGGAGGTCCCGACTGCTTCCGCAGGGGCAGCGTTACGCCACCGATCCACTCTCGACGGTGCTCGGCCCCACGGAAGCCGAAATCGAGGAAAAACGCCTAGATCGAAAGACTCATGACATCATCGACGAAATTACACCAAAGAAAAACCCCAATCAATTGATGGTTCCCAGACATGATCGCGTCGTGAAAAAATCAGGACGGCGGGTTTTCGGCCGTTTCGGCCTCGTGGGGCCTCGGGACCGTCAAAAACGACTGAGGATGAAAAACCCGTCCCGGGGAAAGGGTCGGGACTTCCGGGGACGCCATCCTGAAAAAAATCATGACGTCGCATGTCTGGGTTTGAACTGAGAAGATCGACCGGAACCCGGGAGCCCAGGAACCCAGAACCCAGCACCGAAATCGGCCCGGAACCAATCACCGGGAACCCGGGAACCCAGAACCGGGAACCCGGGAACCCCGCCTGCCACCAAAATCGGCGGGGAACTTCCGCCAAATCTTTCAACTGGACCCCTTCCGTGCAAGCACTGATTGGGGAAAAAACGCCCAGATCGAGAGACGCCTGTGCGCAAAGCTGCCTGTCGGGTCGGGCGAAAGGGGGGGATAGCAAAGGGGAGGGTTGAGAATCAGCTCACGTAGCTGATTTTCCCGGCGCCTCCCGGCGCCGGAGGCGGCTATGTCTCGAGGGGTGGGGCCGAAACCAGCTGCATGCAGCAAATTTCGTAACCCCCCCTTTCCCAATCCCCCCCTTTCGCCCGGCCCGAGCCTGGATCGAACCATCACACCGCCAGAGATCTGGGAGCCTTCCGTCCCGGAGCCCTCTTCGACGGCCCCGGGGCCCGCGGCCTGGCCCCGGAGGCCGACATATCCAGGAACCGCGCCAGCATCGCCGGAGATCCAAACCCAGACATGCGATGTCCTGATTTTTTCAGGACGGCGTCCCTGCAGAAGTCCAGACCCTTTCCCTGGGGCCGGTTTTTCATCCTGAGTCGTTGTTTGACAGTCCCGAGGCCCGGCGAGGGCCGAGGCCGAAAATCCCGAAAAACCTCTGTGCTGAATTTTCTACGACGCGATCATGCCTCGCCGGAGATCCGGGCCTGCCCGGAGACGGCTGCCCCAGCTGCCCCAGCAGCTCCTCCAGCGCCCGGCAGCTGCCCGCGGTCAGCTTCGGAGCGCCCGCCTGCGCCACCGGCGTCGGCTGGCCCGGCCGCGGAGGCTGCGGGTCCATCTCTCGCTGCGGCGGGGCCACGGTGCCCAGGGCCACGGTGGCCACACAGAGGGGGGCGGGGGGGAGGAGTGGCAGGTCGAGCAGGGAGAAGTACAGTCATCGGCCTGACCTAAGGAACGATGAATAAAAAACGAAGCCCCTTTTTTATCCCAAGGAATAACGCATAAGGAAAGGAACGATACATAACAAATGACGCACAAGGAACTGTACATAACGCATGCAAGCGTAAGGAACGACCGAGCCCCTTTTGAAAAGTAAGTGTTCCTTATTCAAGCCGCTCACTATATTGTTTTTGCTGGGGAGGCGAAGGGGCGGATACCACCATGCCAAAGTCCCACCGTGAAGCGCACGGGGGAGGGATTTCGAGTGCTTCGCTTGGGATGTTCGACGCGATATCCTTCGTGCAGTTTCGGGACATGCACGGGCGGGAGATCTGTTTGCCTTGGCATGCGAGCCTCACCACAAAGTCCAGCCGGCGGGTACGGAAAGGGGGAGTGGCAAGACGCGCAGGGGGGAGGGAGGGGAGGATCGGCGGTGGACAAACCTCCCTTTAGTAAACCTCCCCTTAGTGAAAATGGCCTGGGACCGAAACCGACGGACCTGGACCCGCAGAAATTCCTGAATCGACGTGTCAGGGTAGGAGGTCGATCCACCTCCGAGAGGAAGAGGCAGAGGAGGGCCTAGGCCTCCCATCTTGCCTTGTTGTGTCCAATCAGGGCGTTTCTCCTCGAGGTCGGCCTCTGGGGCCCGTCACCGGGGCTCGGGGCCAGACCTCTGGAGACGTGCTTGCTCAGTTACTGTTTCTTCGCTTTTTCCGATCTGGTTTTTTTTCTCAACGATCTAGGCCTTTTTCCAAGCCTTTTTCACCACGGCCTAGGCATTTCTTCTAGGCCTTTTCGAGGTCATATTCTAAGTCTTTCTTTCAAGTGCTGTTCGATCTAGGTCTTTTTCTCGACATTTTTTTTTTAGGGGGGAAGGGGAAGGGGAGAGGAGCACGGCGCCCGATTGTCCTCCAGCAAACGCTCATGAACTAAAGCAAGCAATGTACATCGTATGAAGAACGATGTGGTGGCCACCGGGATTCTATAACACTACGAACGAACACAACGGAATATGCACAGACCAGATCTGGAGTCCGCTCCACAACTGCTGTAAACGCAAACCAGAAGAGAGCTCGAAAAGCGGAGGTGGGAAGAAGAGGACGGGAACTGGATGCACACCTGGACCACGGAGCGTGTAGGTCGCAATTCGTCTCCACAGCGGGAGAGACGACGTAGAGCGCAATCTCCCAAAACCAAGCCGAATCAAAGGGATCACTGGACTTTCACAAGCTCGGCGAATTATCTGTGATGGTGTAGAGACAGATACAGAGTAAGAGAGAGAGGGAGAGAGAGAGAGAGAGAGAGAGAAAAAAAAAAACAGAGAGAGGAGGAGGAGCAGAAAAATGGAGGGGAGGGTGCAACGCACGGCTGTCGGCCACCCGCTGCAGGCGATCCGCCCCCTCTAGGGGCAAGTGGCCAAGAGGTCCGAGGCGCCGCTCACGGCGCTGCGAACCCCCCGCGGCTTGACCCCGCAAGGGCGAAGCGCCACCTCCAGGCTTCAAACGAGGAGGGGGGAGGGAGGAGGAGGAGGAGGAGGAGGAGGAGGAGGAGGAGGAGGAGGAGGGAAAGGAGGAGGGAGAGGAAAGAGGGGGAGGGCAGTCCCGACCCCGCTGGGGGACGGACGAAAGACCCCTCCTCCTACGCCCGCCCGCCCCCGCCCCCCCCCTCCTCCCCCCTCCCCCCCCTCGCCCCTTGAGTCTCCTCGCGCCACCCTCACGCGGAAGAAGAACGACAGCTCGGGCTCAGGCGCACCTCGCGCCGGGTGGAAAAGGGTTGGCGCCCGCGGCTCGGGGCCCATGTCCTCGTCCTCCTCCGCCTCCCCTTCCCTCCTCTTCCCCTTCCCCTTCCCCCTCCCTCTCCGCCTCCGCCTCCTCCTCCTCCTCCTCCTCCTGCTCCTCCTCCTCCTCCTCCTCCTCCTCCTCCTCCTCCTCCTCCTCCTCCTCCTCCTCCTCCTCCTCCTCCTCTCTGTCCCAATAGGCCCCCCGATGTGGTTGGTTGGAGTGTTGTTGAGTTGTCGGCGGAAGGGTGGCCTCTGGGGGCCAGATCTGGGGCCCTGCTGGGTCGTTTTCAGACCGTCCCGTGCGGAGAGAGGTGGGCTGGCCTCGAAGCTGTGCGTACAAGGCGGGCTCCCGTCCACATTATCAGCGACCACCTGTGACTTGTCAGGGAAGGCACTTCGTGGGACCCTTCCATGGGGCCCTCCTCTTGCCCTTCCCGCTCCTCCCCCTGCCCCTCCTCCTCCTCCTCCTCCTCCTCCTCCTCCTGGGGCAATGGTTGTCGCCCCGTGGTTCTAGCTGGCGGAGGTTGTTTTCCTTTGGGGCTGGGTTCGCGGGAGCGGCCGAGCTTCAAGTGGACCCCTGCCCGCCGCACTCTGGGCCAACTGATCGATAGCCGGGCTCCGCATTCCGAGATTTGGAGATTCCTGGGGCACGCTTGGGCCGACTTCTTTGCCAGCTGGGAGCCCAAGAGTATGAGGTGGCGAAACTTGCGGTGGCCTCCTTAGAAGCCACCACTAGAAACACGAACCTCTCGTGTAATGTGCTAGGCCAGGCCATGTAAATCATGTGTGCTCGGCCTGAGATCTCCGCTCCGTCTGGGGACAGACCACCTCCGAGCGCTCCAGCTGCGCACGCGGTCCCACCGGTGGTAGTGATTGCACACGACCCCGTGGCTATGCGTCAGTCATGCCATGTGCAGTGCCGCAGATGCCTAGCTACTATAGCTCGCCCCGGCGTGTCCAGGGAATGCCTCTTGAAGCCTGGCGCAATTTGTTCGCCCTCCCCCATGCTTGCCCAGCTTGCCGACGCTGTCGAGCGCATGGGGTGGAGAGACAAGGAAGAGGGGGAGCGTCGTCGTCTCGAAGGGGTGGCGACGGACGCGGACGGTCATAAAGTATTTGCTTCAGATCCACTATTTTGCTGCCGCCGATGCGGTGCCCGTGCGGCGGTCGGATCGGCGAACTTGGATGCCCTCTCCTCTGGTTGTCCCGGCAGCCCGCCCGATGCCGCTCGGCGCAGGGCCCGCGACCGGCTCGCGGGCGGCAGTGATCCGGTCTCCGGAGCCCCCGTTTCAAGGGCTCTCTGCCTCGCTGAATGTTAGTCGTGTGTCGAGTGACGTTTGAAGCCGTTACTCGCACGCGGCCATCCATGTCATCGTTGCAGGCGTGCTCCTGGCTTGCTGGCTGCACGTCCTCGGCCATGCTCCTCCTCCTCCTCCTCCTCTTCCTCCTCCTCCTCCTCCTCTCCTTCCCATTGTTACCTCTCCCCCGTACTTCTTTCACCTTATTATTTCCCTCACTTCTCCTTCTGCCTACCCTCTCCACCGCCTTCCCTTGAACCTTCTCCCCCTATGACTCATAGACTTGTCGTCCCTGCTCTCTCCCGTCTTCTCTGTCCTCATTGCCATCTCTCTTACTCGTGCTCATTTCCCCCCGTCTTCCCTTCTCCTCCACCTCCTCGTGATCCTTTCCTCCTTGACCTGCTGCCAACAACTCCCCGGTTCTCCGCTCTCTACACTCTGCCTCACCTTTCCGTCACTTTTCCCCCTCCTATCTCGTCATCGTCCAACTCCCCCTCGTCCTGCTCCTCCTGCATTTGATACTGCTCCGCGTGCTTTTTCACGTCCTCCTCTCCTCTCCTCAAGTTCCAACCACCTGCCTCGTCTTTGGTTTGGATTTCCCGATGTTTTTTTTGTCGTCTCGTCCTGCACGATAATATTGAGCAACATGTCAAGTATCAGTGGTAAGAGAAATGCCGCAGCATTCGAACGACAACGCGACTGATGATTGCGCAGGCCGGTGTGGAGATTCACATACATGTGAAAAACAACCATAATAACACGCGCCAGGGATAACGACTAGCCATGGCTGGAACATGAGCAACGCAACTGATGACAACCATCAGGGCTTCATGAGGACAAAAAGGGAGGGGAAAGGGTGGGAAACAGAGGGCGAGAGGAACCAACACGATCACGACCACGGGAATGATAACTGCTTTATGATGCCTGCCCTGATCCAGAACTATCGCACACAGGTCACAAATCGCTCCGAGGCAGGCAATTTTGCTTATCGGTGCAGCAACAACAACTACTACCACTACTGCTCATCATTACGCCGGGTCGCGTGGACGCTTGCAATGTCCACATACGGCACAAACTATACTCATAGTTGTTGTGCAAGTCGTTGTTGACCATTATCCAGGCGGCCTCTTTCTGCAACATGGTTGTCCATTCGTTCCGAGGCCTGCCCACCACTCGAATATACCTTTGCGCTGCTGGCCTCGACGATCCGGGGATGAATGCGAGGGGCTTCATGGGATCATTCTCTGGGGCCCTCGCGACTCTTCCGTACAGAAGAAGTTTGTCGCGAGAGAGTTGGTGGCGCACTGGATTGCACGATGCCCTCCGCGGAGAATACTCCGCAAACGACGGCAATATCATCCGTTCAAGCGCCTCGTCTCTGGACGCAGAACCATGCCAAACTGAGCCCGTAGAGAAGCCGGCTGATTACGACAGAATAGAACACTGGATGCTTACGAGCCACCAGTCCTCCCCCAGAACATCGACAACGCAGCGAAAACGCTCAATGCGTGACCAATTTTTCTGGCGAGCTCGTGTTGGATCCGCCCGTCGGCCCAGATGCTTGCGCCCAGGTAGTTCATGAGGTCGGCCGTGGGAATGCAGCGCCAATGACTTGAAATTTGGACCAACGCAGCTCCAATCCGTAGCCAACACCCGCGCGTGCAATTGCGCCGAATAGTTATCGCACGTGTTCCTGCTGCGCCCCGATGACCAACGTGTCATCCGCGTAAAAAATGACGTCCAGGGCTCCGCCCTCGAACCCGCTTCGTGCACGTGGCGACAGAGCTGCTGTAGCGTCGTGTATCGCCATTCTCATAAGCATCGCGAAGAGCAGCGGCGACAACGGGCACCCTTGAGAAATGCCGGACATTTGCGGTGTTTGAATGGGCGTCTGGTTGGCATCTAGCACGCTGAACAGGCGGTCTGCGCAAATGCTGTGGACAAGTCTGACAAGCTTCGGGGCAGCCCAAACCGTCGAAGTGCGACCATGGGAGCGTCGACGTTGATGGACTCGAAAGATTTTGCCCAATCTAGAGCGACCATGCCCACCTTCCCATGCTTCTGCGCATGCGCTAGGCCAATGTGCCGCCAGACCATACAAATTGCATCGCTCGTGCAACGGCCTTTCCGAAAAGCAGACTGTTTGCAGGTCAGACGGTTTTCTGCCCCTGCTTGTTGTAGCCTTCTGCAAATAGACTTGAAGCGAACAATTGTACGTGACGCAAACGAGGCTGATGGGCCAGTCGTTGTCGCAATTCGCGACGTCCTCCTTGTTTTGCAGGCTCACCACATAGGCCGTGTGCCAGTCGTCCGGGACATTCTCCTGCACCCAGCACTGGTTGCATAAATATGTGAGCCACTGCGGACCCTCAGCGGTGTCCGCTATGGCGTGCCAATGCTTGCCGAACATCTCATCCGGCCCGCAAGCTTTCTGAGCCTTCGAGCCCTTCACTGTGCTAGCGACCTCGTCCTTCGCAATTGCTCCTTGATCCATGGGGGGCGGCTCTCCTGAACCTGGTCCGTCTACCACTCCCGCGGGACGCACGCGCCACTGAATCCGCTCGAAATGGTCGGCCATTGTTTTTGCCCACCAGAAAGCTTGTGTTAAGTCGGGCCTGTCTCCCTACAGGAGGGTTTTCGACGAAATATACATATATATATATATATATATATATATATATATATATATATCAAAATAAAGAAATCCCAAAAAGCAAAAATAGTCTGGGGACTACTTTTTGGGCATTGTTTTAAACATTTTGGAATCTATTCTGGGGTATTTTTTACTTTTCGTCGAAAATCGGCCTGTAGGGGGACAGGCCCGACGTAAAGCTTGCGGCCCGAATCGGCGGGGCAACCCTCGGCGGGGCGCGCGGCGCCCGGGCGTGCCCACTGGAAGCCTGCCGCCCGTCACGCCCGGGGGTGCGGGGCGCGCGCGCCCTGTTGCGATGGCTGTGCCCCCATCCCCCCCCTCTCCGCCAGCGTGCTGGGGGGGCAGCTCGATCGGGGCGCTCTACCATTACGTCGGGTAGGTCCTCCTACAGGCGGACTGTGGGCGAAGGATCAGAAGTACGTCAAGAAACAATAGCACGCTTAATCATCCTCAACAGATCGTCCCCAGACTATTCTTGAACATTCCTCACGTGCAGGGAGAAGCCCGACTTAACTTTACCACGCCCTTGGCCTCTGCGCCTGCTGCCCAAGGCCTCGCCGCTGCTCCTGCCGCGCCGCACTTCGAGCGCGCTCGTCGGCGCAGCATACCCAGCGTCGGCCGAGAACGTCGCGACGCCTCCATCGGCAGTGTTCGACGTGCTGCAAGTCTCGATCCACCTGCTGGTTCTCTCAGTGCCCCCATTTCGGGCGTTGGCAGAACTGGGTTTAGTGGGACCTGGTTTAGTGATGTGTACTGGGGAACGCCTCCCCGGCCCCATTCCACTAACCGGAACTGCCGTCACCCGAAAAACACCAGCTACGGTAGACTTGGTTTAATGATTCCAGTCCATATTTTGGGCTTCGGGGCCCAATCACTAGCCGGCTCCACTTAACCGGGGTCCTGGCTATACCCGACCATTTCGGAATCACCAGCAGCCACGGAGCTAGAACCTCGGTGAGGCGGCGTGCTTTTGGACGCTGCCGCGCGATCACGCACTGTCCAGGCCCATCGCTGAAAATATATACTCAGACGTACGGCAGAACCCTGCACCCCTGGAGACACAAGCCGTGCGTGCTGGTACTGCCGTCCACCCTCTTCTGGTACTCCGTGCAAGTGTTACTGAGACTGAGTTTGTACCGCTAGTCCCGAACACCGTCAGCCTGTCCCCGAAACCGAGCGTTCTGGCTTTCGACTCCAGCTGGCGCAACGGCTTCGCGCTGACGTGGCTACCGTTCTCGTCATTGCACTTCCCCGTGAGTTTTTGCCCTTGCCACGGGCTCGCACTGAATTAACCTTACCCCCCTCCTGCGCGCTGAAGGCGTGCGCCAGCCCACTGTAGCCACTATCTGTCGAAAACATCTGGTTGTGGAACCTGCGTGCAACACGTGCTCGTTAATATCCCCAAACTTCCTTTCTGAAAAAACATGGCGACATATGGGACAATATCTTCTGCCACATGCTCACACGCGGAGCACCAGTGTGCTTTGTAGTCGGCGGTGCTTCCATCGGTACGTCGTTGATCACCTCTGGGGATTCATCTTGCCAAACTGGTGTGCGTGTGCGTGCCTCCTTGCTCACGATGGGGGGGGCAGGGTAAGGAGAGGAGGACGATGACGACGACGAGGCAGGCGAGGAGGCAACGGAAGGAGGCAGGCGCAGGAGCAGGGTAGGGGGAGGACGAGGAGGAAGGGCTGTGGGAGCACGAGCAGGAGGAGCACAGCGCGGGCAGAGAGCGAGCTAAGGGCCGCCGGCTCACGAGCCGAGCGCCGCGGCACGCCGCGCCCGCCGCTCCATGGCAGCCGCCGCAGCCGCCCGGGGCGCGAGCGCGCCGCGCACGCCGAGCGGGCGCCGCGCAGGGCGCTGCCGCACACCGCGGAGGAGGCCATGGCCGCGCGGGGGCGGCCGCGCGGCCGCCGCGCGCCCCCGCCGAGCGGGCCGAGGCGCGGCGCGGGCGGCGTGGGCGCTCGTGGCGCGCGGCGTGGAGGGGCGGCGCGCCGCAGGGGAGGCTCGCCGTGCGCGTGCTCGCCGCCGGCGGGGGGAGCGGCGGAGGAGGCCAGGGCGGCGCGCGGGGGCGGGTGTGCCCAGAGCAGCGTGGGCGCGTGCGGCCAGCCTGGCGCGCGCGGCTCGTGGCCCCCGCGGCGTCGGCGCGGCGACGCGCCGGCGCGGCGCCCCGGCCTTGGGTCGGGCATGTCCTCCCACGGGCGGAGCGTGGCCGACAAAATGCAAAATATAGAAAACAAATATTCAAAAGTAATCCAACAATCGTCCCCGACGTAATGTTTAGAATCGTTTTTGCCTACTCCTTCTGTAGAGGAACAGGCCCGCCTTAATCCCAACCTCCGGGGCCGAGGCCGCGCGCTGGAGCGCCTCGGCGTGCGAGACACGCCGCAGGGCTGCTCCAGCAGCCGCTGGAGTGCCCCAGCAGTGCTCGGTACAGTTAGCTCGGGTGTTCGCCTCGGCGCGACGGCCAAGGCGGCGGCGGCAGAACTCAGCTCAAGGTCTCGATCGGCACTGTGGCCATCCAGCGGCGAGCCCTCTCAGCGGCTCATCACCGTCCCAAGTAGACCGTGGCAGCCAAGGGTGCAGGGCGCGGCACGCTCCACGCGCACCCTCGCCGTGACCGTCTGGCCGCCGCGCCCTCTGAAGTGCCCGCCGATTTACTGGCCGCAGCGCCGCACGCCGCCTGCCGCACGCTGCCCGAGGATTGCCTCCTGGCCTGCGGGCTCGAGGCACCGCGGCAGCGCGCAGCGCGCCAGCGAGGGTCCTGACGAGCATGCCAGCTAAGCGTTCTCGGGGTACTCCGCGACCATGCGCTCCACTTGCAGCCATCGAGCCCCAGCAGCAGCTGCACGAACTCCAGCAGCTGGGTCGGCGTCTCCTGCAAAAAGGCTGAGGCAGCGCCGCGAGGCCGATTTTGTGCGTGCGGCCCACGTGAAGACTGCCACGATTTGTGCTGTGCAACGGCACGCTTGTCGAGCCGGCAGTCTGCACACCAGACGCCGGCCAAGGCCAACGGCAACGCCCAGTTGCTCCGCCTCCTACTGCAGCTTGCCGGAGCTGCTCCCCGAGCCGGTCAGCCTGGACCAGTCGGAGCGCATGGCCGACGACGCGGTGCACGCCGCCACGCCAAGCGGGGTCGTCGGTATCCAGGCTGCCAGTTCCCCCTGCTCCGGCGGCCAGCGCGGAGGGCGGGAGGTGCCGCAGCTCGTGCGGCGCCGGAGTTTCCTTGGCCACCACGGCTTCGCCCACCGCGAAGAGCTGTTCCACACTGCTGGGCACGCGCGGGGCAGAAGTCCGACGCCCCTCGCGAGTCCCCCGTTGCCCGCGCGCGCTGCCACTGGCGCTGTCCAGGGCCGCGCCGCTGTGCAGCCGCGTCCGCCGTGGGCCGCAATGTCAAGCTGAGCCGGCCCACGCAGCTCTCCACCCGGGGCCAAGCCGTCGCGGGCGAGATCCGGGCGAGACCCTCGCCTTGAGCTCGCACGCCTGGGCCTTCTCCAGGGCGGACCGCTCCTGCGGTGCGGACAACTCCCCGCGCCGCGAGGTCGGCTACACGCAAGAGTGACCCCGGGTAAGAGTGACCTCTGGTGCGCGGATCTTGTTGTGGCTTCCGGGGAGACCGAACACACGCGCGCAAAGAGACGGTAATTACGGTCGCACCGCGTCGGGCCCGCACCACAGGCCACTCCCGCGTGCAGCCGACGAGGGCGGTCCTATAGACGCCTCTCTCGCCTGCTCCGCGGGGGGCGGCCTGCAGAAGCGCCGCCCCACGCTCGGCAGGCCTCTCGAGCTCGGGAAGTTTGAGCAGGGACCGACCGTCCCAGTATTCCTATAGTCCTACCACGAAATGTTCTTAGAACCCAAGAACGTCCTAAGAACCCGAACGATGTTCTTAGAACATAAACCCGATGTGTTAAAACAAGACAGGCTCCGCCAACAATGTTCTAAGAACAGTTCGTGGAAACCACAAAAGGTTCTTAGTTCATTGTTTGGTAGGGCTATAGGCGAACCAGGACGCTTCGCCACTGCTTGAGAAGTGCGGCCGGGGCCCCCCTTCTCGACGTCGCCGCCGCGGGCCTCGGCAACTCGGTGCCCGTGCCCTCCCGCGGCCCCCTTATCCTGGGTGCCCACGCCGGCGGCCAGGCGCGCACAGAGGAGGCGCGCGCGGGCTGCACGAGTAGAAGGAGGAGGAGGAGGAGGAGGAGGAGGAGGAGGAGGAGGAGGAGGAGGAGGAGGAGGTGGAGGAGGAGGACGAGGAGGCAGCAGCCAGCGCGGAGCGGCAGGCCGCGCGGGCCGGCGCGGCGCCAGGCAGCTCCGCGGCGCCCCGGCAGGAACGCGGGCGTGGGCACCCGGGGGGCGGGGCGCGGCGCTGCCCGGCGGGCGGGTCGGGGAGCGCGCGCGGGCGGCCGCCGGCCTCGGGGGCGGGAGCGGGCGCCGCCCGCGGCGAGCGAGGTCGGCGCGCGAGGGGGAGCGGGCCCTGGCGGCAGCGGGAGGGCCCGGGAGGCCCCGAAGCGGCGGACACAACTCAGAGCCCGTCGCCATCGGGGCCCGCTTGCCTCGCGGCGGCAAGGGGTGCGCGCCGACGCCGTCGCAGGCGTGAGCTGGCAGCGGCAGCGGGGAGCGGGGCGCGGCCTCGGCGCCAGCACAGTGGCAAGCTGGCGGCTGAGGGGGTGCGGCTAGTTGGGTCTCCGGGGCGGAATGGAGTGCGTGGTGCGCTGCCCACCCGGCCGCCAATCTCGCCATGGTGGTAAATAAAGCAAAAGCACCAGTGTTCGCGGCGTCAGCCCCGCGGAGAAGGAAACCGAATCCTGTGATGTATGACTGGTGCCCTCGAAGGTTGGCGTAGCCCTGGTGAATCTGGCCGGGCACATGGATTGCCGCCAAGCTGCTACCAAAAGGTCAGTGCCTCAGCGGGCGGGGCCCCAGGACCACTGGCATTCCCGCAGGCCTGTGTCGGCACATGAGGGGGCGCAGTCCTGGAAGGAGGCGTCAACAGCAGGACGAAGAGGGGGAGGAGGACGAGGAGGGCAAGGAACAGCAAACGAGGGTTCGGGACAGGGCACAGAAGAGGGCAGACGAGGAGGTTCGAACCCCACACCCCGAGGCACGGTTGACGGCGCCGTGCGCGCCTGCACCTCGGAGGTTCGCTGGGTCTTCCAGCGGGTCCCAGCCCTCCCGATCCCTCTAAGCTTTCTCGCGCGCCGCACAGACTCATACTGGCAAGGGCAAACAGGCTCGTTCCTTTGTGCCTCCACACGATTATCCCTCTTCCCCCCTCTTCATCCTCATACTTCCTGCTCCCGCACCTTCTCCTAGTACTGCTCGTACTACGTCGACGCCAACGACGTAGCCGCCGTCGCCACCAGTGGAGCTACCACTGACACGTTCGCTTCCGCCCCCCCCTCGTCCTGCGCCTGCTGCTGCGACTGCTCCTGCCAGGGTTGCTGCATCTCGCTGTCTTCTTCTGAGACTCCTCGCCGCTCGATCTTCGTCTCCCCCCTTTTCATGGTCACCATCGCTATCTCATTCCTCCTCCTGCTCCCCTTCATCCTCCATATCCTCTTCGTTCCTTTACCCTGCCTCTTCCGTCCTCCTTCTCCTCCGATTCCTCTTCGTTCCACGCGTTTGCTGTGCCTGGTTCCTAGATCTGCGCCCTGCGAGGGAAGAGCCTGCGGGCGTGGAGGCACAGGAAGGGGCAAACCGCAGGGCGCCTTCCGAACATGATGATGATGATGACGATGCTGAGGATGAGGACGATGATGATTATGCCCAATTTTGGTACCGAAGATGATGCTGCTTATGCTAGTGATGATGACGCTAAATATATGATGATGATAATGGCGATGGTGATGGTGCTGAGAATGACTCGATGATGCTGGTGATAGTGATGCTGGGACTCCATACTTTTCTTACTAGAATGATGGTGGCGAAATGGGTGCTGATGATGGTTGTAAAGATGCCGGTCGTGGTTATGATGATTGTAATGGCGTTGGGACTGGTGATGCTGATGCTGATGATGATGGAATGGTGAGCCTGATGCTTATGATTGCTGATGGTGATGCTCATGATGACGATAGGGGGTGATGCGGATGAGGATGATTATGATGACGATGGTGTCTATGATGGTGATGATCCCCGCGTCCAGAAAGGTCAGGAACTCCCAGCTCATAGTGCTCTTCGGACCGAGGCGTCTCCCTTTGGCCCTGCGGCGGCAACACACGGCCTCGTGCCTGGGGCGCCCTCGCAAGTTCACCTGAATGTCCAGAAACCGCACGCCACACGGCCCCGGCTGAAGCAAGCGGTGAACGGCATCCGAGCAGTCACGGCATGTCAGCCCGCAACAGAAGCACACGGGGCAGTGCAACGACAGGCGGGCTGCTACGCAGCAAGCTGCAACGCGCCAGCGCAGCTACATTGAACAGAGACATGCCACGGCCAGGGCCGAACGCCCACAGCCAGCGGCGGCATGCAGAGTCACGTACTGCGACGCGCGAGTGTGAAGCCAAAGCAGAGCAACAGCCCCCATGGCACAGGCCACACATTGGACATCAGTGCTCTGCGTTGGCGGGAGCTCGATGCAGAGCGTCGGTGGCAAACCGCCTACGCCCACGGTTCAGCCTCCCATGTCGGGGGCTGGCAGCACGCGCCTGGCGACGGGCGAGACGGGCGTGACAAGCGAGTGGCCATGCACCAGGGCGCCAAGCCTAAGCTGTGCACGCTAGGCGCGCGGCAAGACTCCTCAGCAGCAGCAGAACAAGTGTCCCTGAGCTCCTGGCCCGACGAGGGGACCTGCTGTCTTGTCATTGCCGTCGGAGCCCGATCTCGTGCGTCGGCGAGCCCGCGCGCTTCGTTCGGCCTCCACACTGCGCTCGAAGCCGCGCGCGGCAGAAATATAGCAGCGCGCGCCGGGCCGTACCATGCGTGGATAGAGAGCTGCCGGCGAAACAGCTAGCCGCCGGCCACCGGCAGAGTAACTCGTCCAATCGGCGCCTGGGCACGGGTTGGACTGGTTGCTTTGCCACTGGCATCAGAGTTCGACCCCGCGCGCGAGCGAATGCCCACGCGCCTGGCTCGGCCTCCGCTTGAAGCGCACCTCCGACGCAGGCGCCGTAGGGTCGCGCAGAAAATTCGGCATGCACCGAGCCGAAGGCATGCGCGCTGGGCAAAGCAGCGGGCAATTCACAAGAGCACTGACGGAGCGGCAAAAGCTGCCGCAAGCCAGCGAAGTTACATTAAGCAGAAGATATGCCACGAAGGGCCTGCCATCGAACAGCAGACGGCGGCGTGCAAAGTGCACGTCAACGTGCAACTATGCAAGCCAACACTGGACAACACGATCCCGCAACGCAGCGCCCAAGACATCGTTGCTCGGCGATGGCGCAGAATCCGATCCGGGGAGTCGGTGGCGATCTACGTGCGCTCGCGCTTCAGCCTCCAACGCGGATTGCAGCATGCGCTGGGCCTGCGCCATGCGCGCTGCAAAAGCAATCAGACAGCAGAGCAACCAGTCCCAAAATCATCTGGCCACACACTGGACTGATCGCTTTGCCGCTGGCATCGGAGTCCGACACCGTGTGTGGGCAAATGCCTGTACACCTGGTTCGGCTTCCGCTCAAAACGCCGCCTCCGACTCGGAGCGCCGTCGACGCGCGCGGACGGATTGCAGCGCGCACTAGGCCAGCGCCACGCACGCAGACAAGAGAGAGCAGCACGCAATGCATCTGGCCATCAGCAGCGCAACTCGTTCTATGGGCTCCTGGCCCAACGACGGACTGGTTGCATTGCCCATGACATCGAGTCCCAATCCCATCCGTCGGCACCCCCACTCACCTAGCTCGGCATCCGCTCAGAGAAAGAATCGGCTTCCGCCCAGAAAAAAAAAAAAAAAAAAAAAAAAAAAAAAAACCGCCTGCTAGCCCAAGCGTCTGCAGAGGCGCCGCAAGGGCTTCGGGGCTCCGACCGATCCCGCACCTGTAGGCTGAAGGCCGCGCTTCGGCCTCCCGAGGGCAGCATTCTGCCTCGCGCTGCCGGGCGCAATCTGGGACTGCTTGGCGAGCCCCGCCGTCCTGACGCTCTTTGTCTAGTGCCCACATTTGATACAAGTGTGCACCAGGCCTCCATAGCTCGTGCGACCCGTTGGTATCCACTCCCCACCGTAGGGGGGAAGCTCTGGCAGAGGCGGCTGCGGCGCCTGGGGAGGGGGGGGCGGCCTGACTTCCGCTGTCGCTGCCGCTCGAGCCTGTCTAGCCAGCCGCATCTCGGCCTCCGTCGTCACCATTCGCCAGCAGGAGCGCGCGCAGCGTCAGCCTGGCTGGATAGCAGCTCCGCGCTGGCAGTGAGAATCGCCGCCGCCGCTGAAACTGCGCCAGCGCTCCGCTCGCCACCTGCTGCGCAAGGGGCCCGAGATGGCGTCGCCGCGGCCAGCGCGCGCCCGCGCCGCGTTGCCGTCGTCGGCGCACAACCATGTGCTGTGGCGCTCGCGCGCGCGTCCTGGGCAATCGGGAAACCCGCAGCGGCTCCTTCAGCGCAGCTGGCATACTCGCCAGTCGCAGCGTACCTCGTCGAGGCCGGGCCGCGGGCTGGGCCCGGCGTCGCCTTCCTGCATGGCCGCTCCAAGCCAGCGGCAAACCTTCTTGATGACGCGGTTCTGGCGGTAGCTGCGGCCTCGCAGGGCGTCATCAGCGGGGCGGGGACGCGCCCCCTCGCTGGCCCCAGCGCCAGCGCGATGGTTGCCTCGACGCTGCCAATCTGCGACGCGATCCGCCTTCACGTCAGCCAGGCTCGAGCGCGCCTTCACCTTGTGGAAGGAGATGTTGCCGATGCCCGCGTCCTCCACGGCGGCCCACAAGCAGACCCAGAGTGCCCTGTAGGGCCTCTGCCATCCCAAGCACCACGCCTTGCCCGCAGCGACGTCGTGGACGAGCATCTGGCAGTCGGTGAGCAGCCTGATGGGCGGCAGGCGAACTTGAATGGCCTCGATGCCCGCGCAGAGCTCCGCCGCCTCCGACACCTGAGGGAAGGCCATGCCAAGGGCCCAAAGAGGCTGGCGACCCCAGCTTCGTGCCCCGTGACCACGACTATCCAGCCGCCTCTCGCGGAGACTAGGTTCGGGCCCTCGACGCAGCCGTCGGCGAAGAGGTCGCTCGCCAAGGGCATGCCGACGAGGTCCGCCGCGCCGTCCTTCATGGCCCTGCGCCCTGCCGCGGGTGGCGGCGTGGCCCGTCAGCGCTCGGGTGCGAGCGCGCGGGGCCAGAGCGGGTCCTCGATGCAGCCGAGACTCGCCCTGTCCACTATCCTCCTGCCGCGCGTGTCATCGGGCAGGCGCCTCTCGTCGCCGTCGTCGTCGGACTCCCTCTCCGCGCGGCCCGCGGCTGTCGCGAGACACTCGCGCCGGGCGCCGCGCCGCGCCGTGGGCTGCGCATCCGCGGGGGCACCAGGGCGATGATGCGAGCGGCCGGTCCATCTCGAACCGACGCGCCACTGGCCGCAGGCAGCCGGCGAAAACATTCTTGGCCGAGCTGACCTCCTCCGCTGTCCTCGCGCTCATGCGGTTGAGGTTTGCGCCTGGTGCTGGCCAGCGCGCCTCCTCCTGCGAGGTGCTCGAGGCCCGGGTGCTTGCCCACCTCCTTCCGAAGCGCCCTCTCGTGAGCTGCGGCGGCGTGCTTTGACAGAGTGGATGCGCCGAGGGCGCGCGCCCAGCTCCCGCTGCTAGTCGTTAGTAAGCAGACAAGGCCGAACAGCTTGCCATTCCAGGCTGTGGCTCGCGAGCACGCATGCTTCAGCTGGTCCTCGCCCTGCCGGCGCCTCGGACCCCTCGGCGGCGAGCAGCGCGACGACCGCCGCGAAGGCGCTGCCCATGGCCCGCAGGCCCTGGCCGTCTGCGTTGAACTGCGCCGCCTGAGCCCACGCAGCGATCGGGGGAGCGACGCGGCGCAGCAATGTGTCGTTCGAGAGGCGCTTGCCGACCAGGAAGCTGAGGCTGAGGCTCTTCCCCGATCCGCGACCGCGGTGGACGGCGCTGACCTGCCTCCTCCAATTGGTCCGCTGCGGCGTGGGCCAGCGAACCGTTCTGAGGCCGCGTCGACTGGTTGGGCGCAGCCCTGCGCTGGCGACCCGCACCGCGGCTGGCGCCTCCTGGGGGCGGATCGCATGCAGCCGCTGCAGCTGCGACG